GACCACCCCATCTGATGTTAGGTTATTTGCTAAGTGGCTCACAAAATCCAGGAGTCATTTTGCTTAGTGTTAACAGTTTGCTAAAGAAGCTGCAGTTAAGGAAGAGATGGTGGGTAAGGCTGGAGGGAGGCGTGAAGCCTTCCTGCACTCGCTGCACACGCCCTCCTGCACTTGAGGACTGTCCCCTCAGCTCATTGTCCCCTTGGACCCAACGTTTGAGGAGCTTTTAGGGATGTACTGTTGTGTTGGCGTAGTATGCCAGGTCATTGGGAGCAAACTTGACCCCTGGAGCCCATGAATGAGGCTGCTATTCCTTCTGTCCCACAGCCGGCTTGTGGCCAGCACCACCCTGAAGTGATCAACAGACCCCCACCTGAGCCTTCTTAGGAACATAAGCTCATGTGTAATGTAAGGAGACGTAGGATTGGCAAAGCAGATTTTCAGGTCTTCCCTGGAGCTAGGGATGGACTCTGCTGTTAAGTCTTGGTTGTCCAGGGAACTGCTGCCCCTGCTTCTAGCCCCACATCGACTGTTATGTGGCCATGTCAGGCCCAGAGGTAGGTAGACCAGAAATCAGCTGGGACAGTGGTCTGGGAGGAAACCACAACCCTCCTCCTGAGCAGCTCTGTGCTACCCTGGGAGCGTCCAGAATGCTGTGGGGCTAGGGTACAGCTGCAACCCTAACCCACAGTCTTCCACTGGAGATGGAAAGAAAGAACAGATGTAGAAAGTGGTCAGGACATGGTGGGGGCAGAAGCTCATCCTGGACTCAGCAACCACATCCTGGGCTACATGAGACCCTCTCAAGAAGGTAAACAGAAATGCAGTCAGAATGCCCTGATGTCAGAAGCAGATGCCGGGCTACTTTCTAGAGTTAAGATAGAGCTAAGTGTTTTCTCCCAGGGAAGGGGAGGTCTCCACTGCAGATAGTAACTTAAGCCTGAGGCTCCAGCAAATAGCCACGTGGACTGCCAGGAAAGGTTTGGCTGATCGCTAGAGCAACAGGGGCTGACTCAGGAGTCTGGTTGACCTCAGGCCTTTATACAGGGGACATAACCCTGGACCCAGACACCGCCAACCCGGAGCTGGTCTTATCTGAGGACCGGAGGAGTGTGCAGCGTGGTGAACAGCGGCAGGCCCTGCCTGACAGCCCAGAGAGGTTCGACCCTGGCCCCTGTGTGCTGGGCCAGGAGCGCATTACCTCCGGCCGCCACTACTGGGAGGTAGAAGTTGGGGACCGAACCAGCTGGGCGCTTGGCGTATGTAAAGAAACCGTCAACAGGAAGGAAAAGGGGGAGCTGTCAGCTGGCAATGGGTTCTGGATTCTGGTGTTCCTGGGGAGTTTCTATAATTCCAATGAGCGGGCCTTCTCCCCACTACGGGACCCTCCCAAGCGTGTGGGGATTTTTCTGGACTATGAAGCTGGTCATCTCTCATTCTACAGTGCCACAGATGGGTCGCTGCTGTTTGTCTTCCCTGAGACCCCCTTCTCAGGTACGCTCCGGCCCCTCTTCTCACCTCTGTCTAGCAGCCCGACTCCTATGACCATCTGCAGGCTGATAGGTGTATCTGGGGACACCCTTGGTTCCCAGTGATCCAAACTTTCTAGGAGAGTCCCTTCACCTCTCCTGGTCCTTTGTCCTGGCCATGCAGAGACCCAGGAGCCAGCTGACATCCTGTGAGCATTAGGAGGAGCACACAGTGCCTTTCTGACCACACGTGGGAAACACAAGTTCTCAGTCTCAGAGACGGTGTGGATGAGAGTATCCTGGGCTGGGCTCTGCCCCCATACTGGGGATCCTCCCTGCCCCTGATGCCACTTAGTGCCGAAAGCTCTCACCAAAGCACTAAGTCCCATGTGTCACCAGCACCTCAGACTCTGGCTTCCTGTCATGTCATAGACTTTTCCAGAAGTAATCAAGGCTTGTCCACACTGCTGTGCAGCAATCTGGCCTGCCTGCTAAGCACGCCACACAGTTCCTGAAGTGATACTCGGTAAGGTTAGGTAGAGAGCCAGCTTTAAGTTCACCAACATCTCAGGATTTGGTCTGACCTTGCTGGGTGTGGCTACAAGGAGATAAGAGGCCAGCAGCCTCACCTCAGAAATGAGACCCTCTAGTGGGGGCTGAGTTCCAAAGGAGTATTCAACATCTGTATTCAGCACTTAAGGGCCCAGAAGTAGAACTCAGAAATGACACTTGAACACACCCTTCTGTTCTAAGACTTGTTTGGTTTTGCCCTCAAAGGAGTTGGCTGGCTGGCTGGCTGGCTGTGGTACACTGCCCCTGGTTGCCTGCTTTGCAGACTGAGCTGTACAGTCCTGAATGCACAGGAGCCAGTAGTGACTGCTTTTGTATTTCACTTCCCGGAGTTTTATCTTCTATTTATTGAAATGGAAACATTTAAATAAACTCATCTGAAATAGTGTCCTCTGCTTATCCTGTGGGTAAATAACCAAGACCTTGGGTTGGTAAAAGCACACACTGTTTGCAGTTTGGTCTCACTGATTCCAACTCCCGTGTTGGGCAGCTTGTAACTGCTTGTAACTCCCACTGACAGGAATTACACACCCAGCTTCTGAGGGCATCTGCAATCACATGCTGCATAAACCCCTCTCAAGCACACACTACTAAAAAGTGTATTTAAAAGAGAAAACTGACACACCAGGCAGGTACGTGGTCACTGAAGAAGCAAGGGCTTCACAGGCCACCAGACTTAAGACACACAGCTCTTTCCCACACAGGCATGACAAAGTGGGGGTTCCATATGGTTTTTATCCCATGTGTTGGATGTGTATGACACACCAAAAGGACTTTGTTCCCTGGGGTTAGTGGGGATCTTGTTTTATAGTTTGTCAACTAGCCCTTTTCTGGTTACCAGCTTTATCTAGAGGACACCCTATGACATTTCCACGTTTGTCCCAGGCAGGGGAAGTGTAGCAGGTGAGTACAGCACTTGGATTATGCAGCCACACTGGCTGTGACTTGTAGACAGTGTGCTGCGTTTATGGTTTCTGGGGCAGGAGACCCTGGCAAACAGGTGAGACAGCCACATGGTTGAGACCAACATGTGCTCCTAGCCCTAGCCATGGCTTTGGAGAAGAGCAGGACACAGGTCCTGAGGAAGGATGAAGTTCATGACCAAAGCCAAATACCAGCTTCTCTAAGTCTGAAATGGTCTTTGTCCAGGGAATATACAAACAGCCAGGAACTCCCATGTCGGGAAAGAGCTCACGAAAGCAGTGAGACCCCCAGAGCACGGGGAGGCTCTCTAAGGTTCTTGGGAGCTACTCTCCTGTTGTACTCATTCTTGTATTCCTCAGACCTAAGTCAAAGTCTTGTCTCACAGATTCCCAACCACACAGTTGTAGCCAGCCTAAGTGAATTAAACCTCTTTGTCTTTTTGCAAGGTCAGCAGTGCTTTTAACCTCTAAGGCATTGGTTCTCAACCTTCCTAATGTCCTTTAATACAGCTCCTCATGTTGTGGTAAACCTCCAGCCATAAAATTATTTCGCTGCTACTTCATAACTGTAACTTTGCTTCTGTTATGAATAGTAATGTAAATATCCAATATGTAGCCCACAGGTTGAGAACCACAGCCCTAGGCCACGTCTCCAGCTCATGTTTCCTCGATAGTCTTTCTGACTGAAACAAGATAGAACTTTGATATAGTTGCTATTTTGAGGCAAAGTTTCACTATGTAGACCAGGTTGACTTTGAACTCAAGAGCTACACAGGACTCTGCCTCTAGAATGATGAGATTAAAGGCAAGAGCCACCACACCTAGCCCCTCAATGTACTTCTGGTTTGCATTTCCCTAGTAGCTAAGGAGATTGCCTATTTTCATGTGTTTATTAGCTATTTGTACTTTTTGACAGTTGTCTAACATTTTCATTGATAGGTTTTAGTTCTTCGTATAGTCTGGCTATTGATCTTTTGTCAGATGACTAGCTGGCAAAGATGGCTCTCCTGTTCTGTAGAGTCTTTTCACTGGCCGTTACTTCCTTTGCTGGCCAGAAGCTATTTGATTTTATGGTGTCTATTTGTATCCCAGAGGGTTCCTATCTTGCCATGTACCCAGAGGCAAGGAGAATCTGACAGGAAAGTGAGCTCTGGAGAGAAATGCTTGGTGTTTCTGGGAAGTTACAATTGCTTGCAGCTAACCGTCCACAGATCTTGTACATCAGGGCACATGGGCTTGAAGTCAAGGTTTCCACAGTAGTTTTGCTTGTGTTGCTTTAGCTGTTAAGAGACTGATTTACCTCACTCTCCTCCCACCCTCTGGTTTTCATAATTAACTTGAGGACTTCTCAGTTTGTCCTCTCTCAGTGCCATCCACTAAGAAGTGACACAGTCAGGGGACCTCACCAGAGGCCATATTACCGGGGGGGAGAGGGGATACAGACTTCAGCTTTCAGCTCCCACACTAGAAGATACATAACCCTTTCCACGTATTCAGCAGCCTCTGGTGCTCTTAACAACTGAGAACAAACTAGGAGTGTGTGCGCTGTACTGACCCTGGTGAAACCACAGGACCGCAAGCAGAGGCAATGGAAGACTGAGGGTGGGTGGCCTGGTTTTTACCACGGCCTTGAACCAGCAATTTCAAGACAAGACCCAGATAAAGACTCTAGGAAGTTCATGCCCAGCAGTACATCTTGTCGGTCCCTCAACACCTTTTATCTAAGACCTAACAACCAAGAGATTCGAGGCACCCACTACACACAAGGCTAGGAGAGAGGCCAGTAGGTTCTTGTGACGAGCAATAGAGGAGGCCCCAGAGGAACAGCTGGAAGGGATCTGAGGGCATCACTAGGGCTTCAGGAGCCAAAGGTTCCTGCTGATCTCCAGTTGTTAACCAGCCTGGTAGCAGTGGTGCTCTAAAGAGTCACCTATCTCAGAGACCTGACTTGGGACACAAGTTGTGATTCCTCAAGTTCCATAACACTATGAATGAAGATCGCAAACACTAGGGAGGTGACTCAATGAAACACTCTTTGGCTGTTTTCCATGTTTTATTGGCGGATGTCCGAATGTAGCTTGGCACATCTTTCTCTGTGGAGCTGGACCTCAGCGCACCTGGGCCAGGTTGTGCTTCTTGTAGAGTAGCGCCCGCCGCTTCTCGCGCTCACGCACAAAGGCGCGCAGTCGCGCGGTGGGGAAGGTTACGGGCGTGGGCCGGGAGCCGGTGGGGCCCTCCTCCGTCAGCCACCCGCACTGCAAGCAGGTGGAAGCGCACGGGCGGCCCCTGAAGCAGAGAGTGGATCAGCCCGGCTCTGAAGATTAGGTTGCACGGGGGGGGCGGGGGGGGCGGCGGGGATAAAACAAGCCAAGAGGGAAAGGCTGCGTGGTGGGTGGGGCTGGCGATGTGGGTTAGACCACCAGCCAAAAAGCAGTGGAGGGGGCAGGGCAAGGCAAGGTGGGGTGGGGCGGAGCACAGGTTGAGCTCCTTACCAGGGTTGAGCACACAATGAACTCTGCAGGAAGGCTACGGCACCTCCTGATAATCCTGCGTAGCAGCGACTCAACCGAATGAGTCCCTTGCGCAAGCCTTTCTGCAGATCGCGAGTCCCCTCGCTGCTCTCTGGGTACTCGCCACTCAGCCTGAGTGGGTGAGAGGCACAGGAGACTCAGTTACCCTTGGATAGATAGGAGATCCTGGGACATCGAGCTCCCCATAGAGGATGGTGGAGTGTGGGGACCAAATTCAACTCTGGATGTATTTGTGGGGGTGCACAGGGCTTTGTGTTGGTAGCTTGACCCACCCACCTAGCACAGCTTCCCCAGACACCCTAGAAGGACTCACATAATGAAGGCTGTTACACCAATAGCCCAGATGTCTGTCTGTGGAACAGCCCCTTGGCCTTCCAGAAGTTCTGGAGCTGCAGAGAAGCATGGGTAGACATGAAGTTGGGCACAGTTGGGTAAGTCAGGAGGTAGATGCCAGTGGAGGAGACAGCTGGCATGCAGAGCATCTGGGCCCAAGTGAATAGGCACGAGCATCTGGCCCTAGTGAGAGCCTGGTGGATGTCAGTGGAGCTGGGAGTGAGAGCAGACAGGGAAGAACTGCCCCGACAGATCAGAAGACAGGTCAATAGTCATATCCATACCCATGGTCTCCAGGTAGTCTTTGAAGTTCTCAGGGGGTGGGATCTTCTCTTGGCTGAGACTCTGGGCATTACCCAGGTCTATAACCTTAAGCAGGTTGTACTCAGTGACCATCATGTTCTCGGACCTCAGGTCCAGGTGCAGGATGTGTTGGGCATGCAGGTACTGGGTGGCACTCAGCATCTGCCACAGGTAGTCCTTCACATCAGACTCTGAGTAGGAGTCCCTAGAGACACAGATGGCTCAGAATAGCCCTGAGGCAGGTAGAATGGGTATCCTAACAAGGCCTGGCACACATGGGAAGGCTGAGAAACTGCCCCGGCAGGCCAGAAGAGGCATCAGGCTCTGCCTAGTCCCAGCTAGATGGGGTCAGACTGTTCTCACAGTCCCTCCCAGAGATCTCTGCTTGCATGACTGACTGTTTCCCAGGCAGACTAGGCTACCCCTCACCTCTCTGCCAGACAGGGTAGCAGCTCAGGGCCAGCGCACAGCTCCAGGATGAGCACCAGGTGCCGGGGACTGAGGTAGGCTGCATGGAGTTGGGCCAGGTGTGGGTGGTGCAGTCTCTTAAGTGCCTCATACTCTCTTAGTACAGCTGTCTTGTCTTCAGGCTGGTAGGGAACAATCTTAGCGGCCAGGGCCCGCCCACTTGCCTTCTCCCTACACTGCCGCACCACACTGAAGCGGCCCCTGCAGGAAGGAAACATGGGGAACCTGTAAGTACTCCCCACACACTTAGAGTAGCAAGGACCAAGCTCAGGGAGCAGATAAGGTAAGGAGCCAATAAAGACATGCTGGGCAGTTACACCGGAGTGTGGGTCATGGAAAGCCCCCAGGAAGATTTGGGGGACTGTCTCCACCCTCCCACCCTCTACAGACACCCCGCACCTCCGGATCTGCATCTGGAAGGCAAAGGTCTTTGTGCTGGGGAGAAGCTGTGCTGGCCTCCCCCGACTGCTTTCCTCCTCAGAGCCTGTGAGAAGTGAGACAGGGGACCTAGTCAGGGAGGGACATCCAGGCAGCCCTGTCCCTCCCACCATCTCCCAGTTCCTTCCCAAGCACTACAACAATGGCCCTTGCAGCTCCTGTGCACTCTGACCTCTCGTTCCTTGAACAACTAACGTTGTGTGGGTTGGTGGAGAAACTTGGATAGGACAGGGTCATGGCAGAATCTGTTATCTTAACTAATTGCATTCGTGATAATGGCAGAGAACCTTCCAGGTGGACCTGGATAGCAGTCACACCACATCCAGCTTTCTTGAGTCTCCACCACCCATTTCTAACCAACCACAGCAGCGTTCTTCCATCAGATGCAAACACAACACCCAGTAAAGTCAAAATCAACTGCAATCGACTGCCAGGGTGACATGAGGAGAGTTGGTGAGTGAAGAGGGACAGGGGGATAATGGGATCCCCAGGGAGTGCAGGCTTTGAAGGCTGAATGCAGGCATGTAGATCATTCTTGGACAACAGTGTGCCTATGCCTGATCTCATGGCCACCCTATCAGCCTCATCGGCCCCAAAGCTCACCCAGGTGGTTGGGTCCTCCGAGGAGGACCTGTTCTGAGGGGCTGCTGTAGGGGCCCATTCCTGCTTTGCTGACACATGCTGTCCGGAAGGTATACATGCCACCCCTGGACAGCTTGCCGCTGAGGTAGCAGCAGTCGGAGATGTCAGAGGCCAGGGTTGTCCAGCTGCCTCCTGACCACACAGGAGAAAGTAAGAAGCCAATGTGGAAAATCAAGGCACCCCTCTCCTGAGGCCACCCACAGACAGAGAGCAGACACACCCACTGTGCCTTTCCATGCCAACCCTTCAGAGACTCCCAAGCCTCGGGAAGCCTATACCTTCTAAACAGCACTGTACAATGTAGGTCACCGGGCCACAGGATTCCACAGGCTTCCAGACCAGCAGCACCGCATCTGTGTATAGTTCCCCGACCTCCGGGCGTGGAGAAGACGAAGGGCGCTCTGCAAGGGCAACTCCATGGTCAGCACGGACACTCAACCCTCAAGGAACAACCTCTGACCACACCCGTCTCACTCTGAGCAGCTGCCAGGCCTGCCCTCTACGTGTTCCGTCAGTTGATGGAGAGGGACTTCAAGCTAGGATGAATAGAAGAGGCTGGCGCCTCTCCTAGTGGGAGGGGGTGGTCCAGGGATACCTGCCTGGCAGTCTCTGTCTACAGCCCTCTCAGCTGGCCACCTCACTAGGGCACACTGGAGGTACTATGGAGTGGCCCTGGTTAGTGCCTCATCTTTGCTGAGTGCCCTAGCCCAAGGCTAACAGACCAGTCAGTGATGGACTGGTCCCACAGCTTGGCCCATAGTCCCTGTCTTCATCACCCTAGAAGTACCCTCGGATGCTGTGTGAACCAGAAAGCAATACAGGAAGATGAGGCGGTACAGTCAGGAGAGGGAGTTCATATCTCAGGCATGTGTAAGGGCATTCTGTTCAGCAGTGGAGCACACAGATAGACCTGGCGTTAGATGTGGTATGAGCGGCTTTATTTTCTTTGACTTTTCTTGAGTTCCCTACAAGCCCCAAGTTCCATGGACTCTCAGATAAGAACTCGTATTGTCCTGCTCACTAAGCAAAATGAGATGTCCTGGAACTCCTAGCCCAGCCCTCGTGCCCTGGTAGAGACTTCCAGAGTGGACCACATACCTGCTTTCCGCAGGACACCTGTGGTGACTGCTGTCCCCAGCGGATTGCTCACACAGCAGGTATATGTGCCCAGGTCCTCCTCTGTCACCACCAGGATGGTCAACAGCTGGAAGTTCTTCAGGGTGGAAGAGATGAGGAGGTGGCCGCTGCTCTCCAGAAGGACACCATCTGTGACAAGACAAAGCCATCTTGGCTTTCCCCAGGACAGCCACAGCATCCTGCCGGGCCTCCTTGTCCGCACCAATCCAGCACACAGACTCCAGGACAGCCCCTTACCTTTGCTCCAGGTAGCCTGGGCAGTTGGCTGGGCCAACACCTGGCAGGCCAGTGTCACTGATTGACCCAGGACCACAGCCTCGTCTGAGAGTTCTCTCAGGAAGGATGGTGCTGAGAGGGGGCAAAAGAAGAGCCTTGAGTGGAGACTGCCTGACCAGACAGCCCAGTCTGGACCCTGCTCAGCCCCAACAGAAGCCTCCCAAGCTTAGAGCTCTATATCAGAACCCCACACTAGACTCCCACTGTTGTGATCCCTGCTTACCTTGGTCCCTGCCCTTTAGGCCTGACAGCCGGAAAGAAGCTAGGCCTGCCTTCTTTCTGGGAGGCCCTTCTTTCTCAGGACCTGTGGAAGAAAGAGGCCCAGGAGCTTGGGGAGAGAAACAGGATAGCACTAGCTTCCTCTACCTGGGAAATCTAGCTTGGAGGCTGGCCCTGGGGTAAGGAAAGTCAGAGGTCATGGAGGCTCTGAAGATGAAGGGGCTCTGGGCTCACTGAGAGCTATGTCAGAGGATCTAGGTTTGGGGTGGCTCCTGGGCCAGAGGTCTGGGGTCTGGTGAATTGACCCATGGACTGTCTCTCTCCTCAAAGGTCTGCCTCTGCTGTTAGCACTAGGCTATCAGAGATAGTTTCAGATACCCAGGAAGGAGGGGTGTCAGGGCTGCAGAGGGGAAACCAGGATTTGAGCCAAGACCTATGGGGTCAGGCTGGAAGGTGTGGGTGGTATAGAACAGGAAGAGGAGGCCAGTGGGGACTTGAGAGGGCACAAGAGAACCTGGTAGCCCCATGGATGCAGAACAAGGGGTGTGGACAGGGGAGGTTACCTTCTGGCCTGCCCTTCAGGATCCTGGAGATGTGGGCCATGGAAGCCTTCACCCTCTGGCGCAGCCCGAGCTCCACAGGCTCCTCCCCTGACAGGCACCTCCCAGGGAACTGGAAGAGGCCACGGGAGGGGGACCACTTGCGCTTCCTGCTCACAGCAGCCTCGCCCAGCAGTGCTTCCAGGTCCCCGGACTCCTCTGGCTCCTCTGTAATCTCCAGACCAGCACGCAGTCCCAGCTCGCCAGGCCAGGGCCACACGGCCTCTTCCAGGAAACCTGCCAGTCCTTGCCCGGCTTCAGTTTCTGAGTCAGGTGACTCTGGCTGCTCTACAGGTTTGGGGACCCTCCTGAAGATCATGAACTCAAATGGGAGGTATTTGATGTCGTATAGATCGGAGAGGTTAAGGTAAGCAGGATCTACCTCGGAAATGTCCAAGGAGATGGTGTCGGCTGCTTCCGCATCACCAGACAGATCCCGGATCTGTACCAGGGAAACCTGCTCAACTTCCTCCCATGGGGTGAGGCTTGGAGAGGTCCTTGGGGAAACTCCACTGGCCTCAGCAGTAGGCCCTGAGCTGTCCAGCGGTTGAGGGCTCTCAATCGCAGCTTCCTCCTGCTCTTCTGAGGACTGGGACACAGCCCAGGCCATCCTCGCCCAAAGAGGACCCTGCCCTAGCATCCCCCCTGCATCCCCACCAAAGGCAAAGGTGCCATAGCCTGCCACCCCTGCATAGCCCCCACGGGATTCCAGAGAGAACTTCCGGGTGGTGGCCTGCTCCTGAGGCCGCTGTGGAGGAGGCGTGAAGTCACATGTGTCCCCAGCCTCAGACAAGCCTTCAGTATCCAGGGACGCATCTGCTTGGGAGGCTGACCCTGGGGAACTGGAGGGAACTGGACAAGGCCTTTCAGGTAGAGAGCTATCCTGAGGTTCCTTCTCAGAACCCAGAAGGGGGCTTGCTTGAGTTGGGAATGGGGCTGCCTGAGGCTGCTCTGACAAGAGCGGGCCACAGGGTGTTGAGAGCTCTCTCTTTAGTGACTGTGGAGGTAAGGAGCCAAGCGACTGTGGTGATGGAGAGCCACAGCCCTCCTGGGGTCCAGAACCCAGTTCAGAGTGACAGGAAGGGGCTGGTTTCCCTCTACAACTGTCCCGGGATGGTCCTTCTTGCTTAACAGGCCTCGAGTCACCACTCATAGGTGGAAAAGGGACAGATTCCTGCAAGAACCCCTCTTTGTGCCCCATGTCCTTAGCAGTGGTTTCATGAGTGAACCTTGAGGAGGGTGGCACCAGGTATTGTTCTTTGCATGCCTCAGGAAAGGGGCCGGTAGTGACTGGTGGGTTGTCCAGCGAGCGGCTTCGGCCTGGGACCTCTCTGACATTGGAACTAGGTAGTCGCAGGGCAGTCTCAAAGGATGGTGTCTTGGTCATCAGAGAGGCCTGCTCCTCCCTAGCAGCCTCTTCCTCCAACAAGCTGTACTCCATCAGTGGCTCTCTCAGACCGGGGAGGGCCCTTGCAATGTACCCACCCTTTAGCAGGTGCCGCTTCCGAGCAGGGTGCCTCTTGGCACCCAACGTTTTGCTCCCACGCTCTGCACCCTCGCCAGCTTGCTGGTAGAACAAGCTGCTGATGACGCTGTGCCGGGGCACACAACCTGGGCTTGCTGGAGGCCCAGCACCCTGGGGGGATGCTGGCACGGCTGCGTCAGCAGTGGGCATGCTGGCCTCTGTCTCCTCTGGGAGGCTGGCTGAAGGCCTCAGAAAGCCCCGAGGGTGCAGCAGTGGCGAGTGAGTCACAGGGGAAGGTGGCAGCGACTTAGCCCTGGCAAATGGGGCAAGCTCATTGTCCGAGGAAGACGATGAGCTGGAGGAGCCACTGGCTTCCCCACGTAGGTGCCGGGCCACTCCTAGAGACGGACTGTCTGGAGGGCCCTGGAGCAGTTCAGGGATGGAGCGCATCACCAGGATAGACTTGTAGCTCATCAAGGAACGCTGGAAATGGGAACAGAGGGACATCCATCAGGCATGATTGGTCATGGCAGGAGGTGGGATCTCCATTGCCTCTTTGCTTCGATAGGGCCCAGAGGGGTTACTCAGGACATCTGGGTCCTCTGCACCTCCTGCTCTATTGCTCTGCCCCACCACCTGGTGCACACAAGGGAACCCAGAATCATGGAGCAGGCCAGCCTGGCCCTGTGCTCCTGGCCTAAGTGGGTCACATGGCTAGATCCAGGTTCCCTTCCCTGACCTCAGCACCTCTTTCCTGGGAAAAGGGGACTCACCTGCCAGCGACTTCGAGCAAGAAGGAACTTGAGCTGTTTGGTGTTGATGAAGTGGGCTTCCTCAGCCGGCATGGATTTCTGCAGTGGGAGGGGAGTGGCTGTGGTAACAAGAAACAGACCCTGGTGCCCTGGTGGGAGTCCTCCAGGGATGCAGGCCCAGCAGGGTGGAGGCAACAGACTTCAGGGTCTCCTCTCAGACACTCTGGAATCAGGACACTGCAAGTCCCTCTCCCAGATGCCCAGGAAGGCAGAAGGAACCCCTCGTTGCTAACTGCAGAGCAGTCCTCTGTGGAGAACTCCAGGACCCCCTTGCCAATATGAAGGCACTAGTGTCCTCTGAATTGGGGTGGGGGGCAACAGGCCAGAATAATCTATACTGATGAGAACTCTTGGCCTTTGTTTCTCTCTCTGCAGAGCAGCGAGTTGAGCTCAAGCTGGGCCTACTTACCAGGAACCAGGGGTGGGCAAGGCACTGGGAAGCGCTAGGCCGGGCCCTAGAGGAAGAAGCAGGCCAGGTGGGCTAGTCAGTCAGGTGTGACAGGGCTGACTGGAGCTCGGGCAGGTGAAGGACAGGTGTGCACTCACCTGGGGGTCTTTTGCAGCGTGGCCTTGATGAAGTCCTTGGCATCCTCACTCAGGTGAGCAGCCATGGGACTGCTCCAAGAGACTCGCCCCTCCAAAACATTGAGCAAGGTAGCACGGTCGCTCTCTCCAGCAAATGGGGATGAGCAGGTGAGGCTGAAAGCAGAGAAGTGGGGAGGCTGACTCTCAGAGAGGATTCCCTGACTGGATGTGCACCACACTTATCTAGACCTGAGGATTTGAGGAAATGTCTCAGGCTGGACCAGAACAACCCAGCATTAGCTTGGAGCAGGGATCTAGGCTTAGTTACCAGGGCTCAGACTGGGATGAGAATCCAGGTTCAGGCTGAGGTGAGGATTAGGAGTTATCCCATAGCAGAGATGGTGGCTCAGCTCTAATGGGGCATATGAGGTAAACCTGACGTGGGTATCTTGGCTCTGACTTCGGTAAAACTAAAGGCTCATCCTGAAGTGGTCACTTGCCCTTGTCCTGACATGGAGACTCATGTCCAAAATAGGACAGAGATATATGCTCAGCTTGCAGTATGGACATAGCCTTCATTTGAGGTAGGGGTTTGGGTTCAAGAAAGGTATACAAAGTCACTTTGAGGTGACACCTAGCCTTAAGCTAGGGAAGAGCCTCAGGTTCAGAATGGGAAGAGATTCAAGGTCTGTTTAGGGTAGGAACTAGCATTTGCCAGGGTAGAATTCAGAGTTCAACCTGCAGAGAAGAGCCAAACTTGAGCATACCACTAGCACTTTCAGGACATCAGGGACAATGAGTGTCCCATGGTCAAGCCCCCAGACCTGCAGGGGCAGTGGCTAAGATCTGCCTCATGACAGTGGGGTGTTAGTAGGAAGCATTAAACAACACATTTTTTTTAATCAGGGTTGGCCTACTGCCTGGTCTCAAAATAGCTGCCTGCTGTGTCTCGGGGCTGATCTGGGGAGTAGCCAGCAATGTGCTTGGCCTACACTGAAGGGTCAGCTTGGAAGAGGTGGTAGAGCAGGGTCTGCTTACCTGAGGTAGGAGATGACACCCATCGCCCTGTAAGAAGGAAAACACCACATTTGTGAGTCATACCAGGCCTGTCCCACAGGCAAGGGGTATGCATGTCGGGGCTGGAAGGGGAGGCAGAGGCTCAGAGGCTGCCAGACAGACCCACGGAGGACAGAGAGGCTCCCAACCAACAGCCCTCCTGGTGGGCCATCCACTCACCAGATGTCTGAGCCCTCACTCACAGGACTCTGCTCGATGATCTCTGGGGACACGAATTCAGGTGAGCCGTACTTGCTGTACTGTGGCTCTGAAGGGGTGATCTTTTGGGCAAAGCCAAAGTCACAGATCTTAATGTCTTCCCGAGCTGGGTGCACCATCAGGATGTTGGGGGGCTGTCAGGCAGAGTTGGGAAGTTGCTGAGAGCTACACTTCATGAGAGAGGAAACTCCTACTCTCTGGGCCTAGGGGAGCACTGAAGAGTCCTTGACGCTGGTAAAGGGCAGTGGGGAGTCCCCAGGTCAGACTAGGCATCACATTCCTCCACCAGAGCCAAACCCTACCTGATGGCTGGGAAGCAGTGAGTTCCCTGTCCTCAGTAGAACCCAAGCGCAGGGGCTCCCACCTGTCCCCGCTCTGAGTCCTGGAGGTACCATAAGGTCAATACCTTTATGTCCAGGTGGAGGATATCATGGCTGTGCAAATAGTGTAGGCCTTCCACCAGCTGCTGGATGTAGACCTTGACCTGTGATAAAGGCCGGGTACAGTTCGGAGCTAGCCCCCAAGAGGCTGGCTCAGGAACCTCCTGAAGACCTGGCCCAGGTGAGGGGCCAGCCCCAGATACCTCCTGAAGGCCTGGCCCAGGTGAGGAGCCAGCGTCAGGTACATCCTGAAGGTCTGGCCAAACTGAGGAGCCAGGCTCAGGTACCTCCTGAAGGTCTGTCCCGGGTAAGGAGCCAGCCTCAGGAACCTCTTGAAAGCCTGGACCAACTGAGGGGCCAGCCTCAGGTACCTCCTGAAGACCTGGCCCAGGTGAGGGGTCAACCTCAGGTACCTCCTGAAGACCTGGCTCAACTGAGGGGCCAGCCTCAGGTACCTCCTCAAGGCCTGGCCAAACTGAGAGTCCAGGCTCAGGTACCTCCTCAAGACCTGGCCAAACTGAGAGGCCAGGCTCAGGTACCTCCTCAAGACCTGGCCAAACTGAGGGGCCAGGATCAGGTACCTCCTCAAGGCCTGGCCAAACTGAGAGGCCAGGCTCAGGTACCTCCTCAAGGCCTGGCCAAACTGAGAGGCCAGGCTCAGGTACCTCCTCAAGGCCTGGCCCAGTTGAGGGGCCAGGCTCAGGTACCTCCTGAAGGCCTGGCCAAACTAAGGGGTCAGCCTCAGGTACCTCCTGAAGGCCTGGCTCAACTGAGGGGCCAGCCTCATATACTTCCTGAAGGTCTGTCCCAGGTGAGAGTCCAGCCTCAGGTACCTCCTGAAGGCCTGGCCCAGATGAGGGGCCAGCCTCAGGTACCTCCTGAAGGCCTGGCCCAGGTGAGGGGCCAGCCTCAGGTTCCTCCTCCATTCTATTCCAGCTTGCTTCCATCATCAAGCCTTCCTCCTCTTAATTCAGGCCCCACGGGTCAGGTAACCAACAAAGTCACAGGTCAGGAACCTGTGAGCTCCAGGGCTAGGGGTTTCCCAAAGGTGTGCTGAGCCTAAATAGGCAGGAAGCAGCAGTCTGTTCCAATCAGGGAGGGGCAGACATCACTAGGACAGCTGGGCTGGTATGGTCAGGAGGGGTAAGAGAGGCTGGTTATACCTGGGTACCTTGGAAGCTACAAGGGACTCAAGTCAAAGAGGCTGTGTCTGGGGACTGGGATGTGCGCTCTGACTCTAGGGACCCACTCAGGCAAGAAGAAGGTAGCGATTACCTCAGCTTCAGTCACTACACCCTTCTTGAAGAGTCGATCCAGCAGCTCCTCAGATGAGCACCTGGGTTTGGTCAAGGAAAGCTGCACCTGGTTGGAACCCACCTGACTACTAGGCCTGTGTTCACAAAAAGGTACCCCGGACTCCAGGCTCCTGTGAGCCAGATCTGGAAGTGCCGGTATTGAGATGAAGGAGAATGGGATGAAGACTCCTGGGTCCCAGATGGTTCACAACCCTGAGAAAGGGCCCTTCAGAAAGACCCTCTGGTGAGTGAGGTTGTTGAGCAGCAGCCTGATGGAACTGGGGTATCCTTTCACCTCTGCACAGAGCCCACTCCAAGCACCCCTTTCCTAAGATCCTAAGACACAGTTTCAGGAGTGATAGGCAGCCAGGTCATGAAATAAATAAGATCCCCAAACACGCCCCCATGGGTGTGACAGAGACCAGGAAGAGCTGGGCTGGGAGCCCCTCTCCAGTATCCAAGAGGTTACCTCTGAGAGGGATCCAGTCCATCCTTGATAAGAATCAAGTCTGTGGTGGCCCCCATCTGTGACCCACAAAAAGGAAAGCTCTCATGTCCAAAACCCCAACCACGTCACTTTGAGTTGTAGGCTCAGGAGCTGCTGTCACACCCAGTCACAGCACCAGGAACAGGATGCTCAGAGGTGGGACTAGTACTTGTCACGATAGCACCCAGGAACAGGGACTCCACACTCAGCAACGCCAGCCCTAGTCTGGGACCTGATGCCTTTTGAACTCTCTCAGGGGTTCAGGTGCAGGATACAGTTCCAAGATAAGGATGAGAGTCTTCCGGGTCTCAAACTGGTCCAAGAGCCCAGTGACCAGTGGGTGGCCAAGTGTAGCCAAGATGTCTCGTTCTTGGTATGCCTGGGCCCGAGTTTTGCTCCGAAGGGGGATGAATTTGGCTGCACAGGACATCTTGTTTCCTTTATGCTGAACCCTTTTTACGAAACCGAACACACCCCTGGGAGTGAAGAAGGAGAGAGGGAACCCATGGTAGGTACCATGCTGAGGGTGCCCTGGGAAGGCTTGGAGACTGTGGAGCAGGTGAGGAACCGATACCTCCCGATCTCTTCTTGAACCTCGTAGAAGGAATGCAGTTTTCTCCGATAGACTTGCTTTTCGGCATCTAGCTTGTCCCCTACCGTCAAAGCACAGGACAGGTACACTATAGGCAGCCATGAATTGACCCCACTGTTCTCCCCTGCAATGACAAGGGTTGCTCCCTGGTGCCTATAGCCTGCCCTGGGAGAGCCTGGGAGGAGCCAGCCAACTCACCCCCATGGACCAGCAGCTCCGCCTTGCAGAGCACCTGTCCACCTGTGTTATTGGCAACACATGTGTAGACACCAGCATCATGTGGCGCCACGTCAGTCAACACCAAGGAATAAGTGGTTCCATCTTGCCTCTGGCTCAGCCGGGCACCATCCATCAGCTGGGTGCTGTCCTGAACAAACAGGAGACAGGCTGGGCTACCATCAGTCTATCCTGGGATATGCCAGCACCTGGACTCACACACCCTCCCTGGAGTAGTACTTCCAATACCTGCTGTGTGCCCAGCCCCAGGAGCAGGCCAGACGTGGGATGGGAAGATAACATACTGGACTGCAGGGTGGGGCTATGGGATGGGGGTTACAGATTGCATAGTGGGGTGCATGAGCCCCCTTCCATACTCGCACATGGTCTCATGCATACATGCACCCATGCCCTCCAGCTCCCGAAGCCCGTCTCCTCCCCCTGCTGCCTGGGCCTACTCTTACCTTGTACCAGGTCACTGTGGGCGGTGGGTTGCCTTCAATGACAGCATCAAACTGTGCCATGTCCCCTACTTGTACTTGTATGTCCTCAATAGTGACCTGCATGGATGGGGGCCCTGGGAGAGGCGGGAAGAGAGCCCGTGTGGAGCAACTCTCGGGCTTCATAGCCCGAGGCGCACAGCCCGCCGTGTACATCTGTGGTCTGGAAAGCTTGATGTCCCTCGGACCACAAAGCCCACTTCTTTCTCTGGTGACCCCAACCTCACTGCCTAAGCCCTTGGTGGTTGTGAAGTGCTTCCTTCAGCACAGCCCGTGTCCTTCCTGCCTTAACTTCAGCTGGCCAAGCAATTACAAGGACATCAAGCCAAAGCAGGCAGAGTGCTAAGAGCCGCTCTCAAGCATGGAGCCTGCAGGCACCACATCTGCTGCCGTTTGCCTCTTCCCAGAGGGTTCTAGGCCCTCCAAGGGGACACAGAAAAAAAAGAGATGGGGAAACGTGGACTAAGGCGTCATACCATGTGACTTAATCAGACCCTCATAAAAATGCCCCCCCCCAGCACCCAGCATGGGTGGACTCCCATCTGGCTGGCCCGCTTCCGTACTTGTGACACTTGTGTCAGGAGCTTGGCACACATAGGTCCTCTGTGTGGTCTCCACGATGACTTGGCTGTGTACATCCAAGAGCAGCTGCCCAGTGCCTGCACCTGGCCAGGCTGTGCCCTCCACCCTGGAGTCAAGACAGGGTGCTCTCTGCTCACTGAAGCACTCTGACTCTACCTCTCAGGGACCTGAACCCCAGGAGAGGATAAGGACCCTACTGTCCCTACTTGTGGGGTTAGATATGTGCGTAGAGCCCCCCCCCCCGCTTCTCCCCAAGACCTTGTGCTCTAGGGTAGGTCCTTCATCCCTCCCCTGCCCACCAGCTTGGGGCGGGGGCCTGTAAGAAGTGTGTTGGAGAGTTTTAAGTCCATCCTGTTAACTCTTCAAGGCCATGAGGCCAAAGCAAGTAGGTTCTGCACTGCCCACCCAGGGGTGTCCCTTGGAGGGCAGTTTCACACGTGACCCATCTGGCTCGGGAGGTTACCGAATGGGTACGGTCCATCCCTGGGACCCAGAAGTTGTTGTCTTCTCCTGCTCCAGGCCTTTGTGTGTGCCAGGCTGCGAGACCTCCGGGAGTCCACCTGGCAGACAGCAGGGAGCCTAGTGAGTTGAATCCTGGCTGGGGTGGGGAGGGCATTCTTTAACAAGCATGGGTTCCCCATGTGACCAGTGTAGGGTAGACTGGAGAATCAAGAGCAGCTCCAGGGCCAGGATGAAAACCTGGAGTGAGAACTAGGCAGTCCTGGCCACCACAACCTAGTACTGCCCACTGGCTGTCTTGCTGAAGCCAGATCTGAGACCTCTCCAGTTCCCCACCAGGGCAACAAGCCTGGCATCCCAGACCTCCAGCCAGGCTGGCATTGGGATGTAGGTCTGCCCTCCAGGATCTGTATATCCAGCCAGGCTGAAGTGATGGTGACATGACAGCAGGACACAGGTGGCAGTGTGGGATTGAGTGGACAGATGACACATCTGGGGAAACTGAAACTCCAAATGGCAGTGAGCACCTCTGGGTCCTTTTACATGCACAGGTGAACTGGGTGGGCCCAGTTCACAGATTGGGAAACTGAGGTCAAGTTAAGGATGAGCCATGACCAGGCAAAGTACACGATGACACATAAAGCCATAAAGGTACCCCGGAGCTCTGCAAGTTTATAACCATGAAATGGGCAATCAAGGTGACACTTTGGATCACGTGGCCAAGGGTTGGGTGGGGTTAGCAAAGGAGGGGAGGAGTCTTTGCAGTCAGCTCCCTACTGGACCTTACCGGGTGTACCTGAAGCTGTGCCTGGAATCTGGGGAGCAGCTTCTTCAAATGCAGGTGGCTCACTTTGTCTGGTGTTCTGGAAATCCCCTGGAGAGGGACTGAGGGCTTCTGAGCCCAGCAGTCTCCAAAGGACAGAAGTGGCTTCTTGGTCAGCTCCATCCTGGGTGTGGTGGGCAGAGCCCTCCATGGAGGTGTCTGTGGATAGGAGGGAGGGAATACAAGGTAAGTCTGTACTGGGGATAGAAATCCCAGGCACAGGCTCGAGTGCCCACCCCAGTTCTCTTCTCGGAGACTGCCCTCTTGCACCTGACCTGCTGCTACCACTGTTCCTTGCTTGGGAAGCCGTGGGTGGGGGGTGTTCAGGAGGAATTGCAGGCACATTGAGGAGCTCTGAGCCCAGGGCTGCTGCTTACAGGACCACTGCTGCCCCCACCCCAGATCCATGTACACTCAGGGCCACCCTCTTCAAAGCTCTAGGGAAAGTACATCTTCAGAAAGCCACCATCTTCAGTGTGCCTCTAGTCCCACACACCTTCCATCCAGCCCTGGCTGTCCTCAGGGCTAACTCTAGACCCCAAATCTTAGACTGACTGGTGCACATTAAGGACCAGGGGAACTGTAGGATTGGGTGTTCAGGAACCATGACCCTATTTCACCTCCCAGGGCAGCTCATGTCTCACCCCATGTGGCTGATGGCTTTCTGCCCCATACCTAAATGGTCCAAGCCCAGTCCAGGCCTGTGTCCTTACCCAATTCCTAGTAAGCAACACCCCAGCATGCCTCTAAACCTCTCTTGGGTATGGCTCCTGGACTTTCTCCACGTGCCTCCTTTCAGACCTGGATACCTATGTGGGGGCCCAATACACATGCCCTAGGACTACTGACCACTCCTTTGCCAGTAAACCTCCTTCCTGCCCAGAGCCTTCCCAGCCAAGATCCTCCTCAGTATTTGGGGATGAGGCATCTCTGACATCCCCAGACACAACCTGGACAAGCTGTTCCCAACCCCAACAGGCCAGAAGCAGCCTTTAGAGCAGGCCTCATAGCTAGAGGTTTCCTGGGGTCCCATCCATCCCCTTACAGGCAAGTGCTAGTATCCTGAGTCATCTCCTCTGCAGATGGTGAGATTTACCACTATACACCAAGAGCTTAGAACACAAAGGTCACCCAATCTCACCTCTGACTCCCCATTCGTTCTACAATGGCTTCAGCTATCCAGGGATTAGGAAAGCCTCCTCAGATGCTGACAGGTCAAAAGTGACTGTGATGGCTGCCCTGGTTACACCATGAGTCCCAAGGACCAGCTCTATAGATGGTCAATGACCAATTTAAATCCTGTCCCTAATCTACCTGTTATGGTTTGTATATGCTCGGCCCAGGGAGTGGCACTATTAGAAGGTGTGGCCTTGTTGGAATAGGTGTGCCACTATGGGTATGAGCTTTAAGACCCTCATTCTAGCTGCCTGGAAGCCAGTATTCTCTTAGCAGCCTTCAGATGAAGATGTAGAACTCTCAGCTCCTCCTGTACCATGCCTGCCTGGATGCTGCCATGTTTCCACCTTGATGAGAATGTACTGAATCTATGAACCTGTAAGCCAGCCCCAGTTAAATGTTGTCCTTATAAGACTTGTCTTGTTCATGGTGTCTGTTCACAGCAGTAAAATCCTAATTAAGACACTACCTATGAACCTCAAGGTGGGCTGGGACCTGCATGCACTTCATCAGGGTACACAAGTAATCAACCACCCTAGAGGCCTATGTGATCTGAGACGTAATGTTGAAGAAATGAGAGTAGATCTAGCAGGTGGCTACAAGAGGAGAGGACCCTGAGCTTCTGGGTGAACAAGCAAGAAAGAGCAGAGAGCAGGGTCTGGGACTTGATTTATTGTTCTTCCAGGGCAATGACCAGGGATTTCCCCCCACCCTAATCTGTGTCCACTATAGAAGTGGCCCTGAAGAGCGGCAGAGCTGGTGCCAGGTAAACACATGTCTTAGGTGTAGCATTGGAGAAAACCCTCTATGGGGATATGTCTCAGAGCAAACACCCAAGTCCACATCTTGTTTCTAGAGCCCCACAGAAGGGACTGAGAGGTGGAGTCCAAAGTCGGAGTCTCAGGACTACTCCTGGCCAGGGTTCTTCTGAAGTGACATCAGCGTACTCCAACTCTGCAGGGACTTCCCCCATCCTCCCGGCAGAGATCGGGTCCAGTGAGGTAGGCAGGACCGGGCAGGAAAGCAAGGAAGGCTCAATCCCAGGCTGGAGAAGAACAGGGGGTGGGAAGTCCCCGAGGTAAGCTGTGGGTTCCAGGGTTGATGCTGGTACCTGGCAGGGTCCAAGGCTCTGGGCCGCTCGCCTTACCTTGTTGTCCCTATGCTGTGTCCTCAATATGTGACATCAGCCCTGGGATGGGCCTGGGGCCTCTCCACCATCTGGGTTAATATGCAAAGTGACTGTCTCTCCTACAGCCCCAAAGCTGACTGTCTGGGTGGAGACTTCTGTCTTGAAGCTTCCATGGCCACTGTCGACAGAACTCTGGACATGGGTACGGAAGGAGCTTGTCCAAGGGGCAGCACTCACTGGACCTGTCCAGGCCTCACGCAAAAGGAAGGAGACGCTCTCAGGGCTGTGGACCTGAGAACCTGGCCTGAAGAAGCTGGGGGTGGCACTGGGGCCTGGAGGACGCCCCACATTGAGCAGGACAGGTTGCCCCACAGTGGGCTCGCTGATCTCTCTCTGGAGCACAGAGACTTCACAGGGAGGTTCATCAGGGGTTTTGGGGGTGGGGTCCCCACAGCCAAAAGTCTCTCCTTCCTGGGGAACATAATCTTCCAGGTCAGCCAATGTCAGCACCCGGCCATTGTGTGTGAGGATTTTGGGGTCACGGCCCTGAAGGCTGTCAATGTCCTGCGGTTCTTCCATCCGGAAGGTATTCTCGTCTTCGTCATTGCCTCCTTCCTTCCTCTCAATGTTCTCTTCCTCCTGGGAGGCTCTGACCTCCTCTGGCTCAGGGTTAGCAGCTGTCCAGTCCACATTGCCCACTGAGTCCACTTGGAAGACAAAAGGTTCACCAACATGGACCACAGTGGGACCCCAGGTCCGGGCTTCCTGGTACACACTCTTGTTGTTGGAGTTGTTGGCATTTGGGTCCCTACCAGGGATCCCACCAGGCAGTGTGAAGAGAATTCCTTCTCCATGGCTGGTCGTCTCTCGGACAGGAGATGCACCTCGTGACCCTGTCTTCTTCACCCGGACTTCAATGGTTTCCTCCACCTCTAACCACTTGGGCTGGGACTGCGAGGCTGGAGTGTGGGCCTCAACTTCTGTCACATACAATGCAGGCACTGGGGCCTTCCTGCCTTGTTCTACTTCAAGCCTCCGGGATGGGCTGGTCCCTGGTGGGTACAGCATCTCAGGGGCCAACAGCCCTGGCCTCCGTGGACTGGCAGAGCGGCGGGAGGGTGAACGGGAGGGAGACTTGCTGGGGGACTGTCGTCGGCCACGAGGACTCTTCACTACAGTGGTGATGGTCTCCTCTCTGGTAGGGGGAGAGGGCCCAAGAAGAGATGGCCAAGAGAGCCACAGCCTCACCCAGCATAGTACCATCAGCATATGTCAGAGCCCACGTTAGTGCCTGTGTCAGCGAGCAGAGGATAAGACAGCACAAACTCCTACACATGCACTTGAGACCAACCTGCACTACCCTAGCTAAGAAAATAGAAAACCAAAGAAACAAAGCACAAAGTTCCAGTGGTCAACCTCAGACTTGGGTATATGATCTTAACTAAGAGTTCTAGATGCTTCCTAAACAAAGTGAGTTGTGCTTTGCAATGCTCCTTGTACTGGTCCCCATCTTTTCCACCCCTTGAGCAGGCTTTGTGCTTTGTCCATAGGGATAGTACCAGGCCAGATCTCGGAAGCCCCTCAGTTAATAGGGATCGATGGCTAGCTGATGCAGCAGCCGCATGCACAATGCAAAGCTCAGGGAGCAGCTGGCTCGGACCTGCAGCCCATGTTCCTGGTTTCTGGGTTTGAGGGGATGGGAATAGTACCACCTCACCAGGCCAAGGCATACACCTGAATTGGCTTAGCTCTGGACTTTGCTGGGCTGCCACAGGCCTTCTGATTTTTCCCATGCCCTGTCCCCTGTCTGAATTCCACTCTTTCAAAATGGGAGTCCGAGCAACAGGAGGAGGCAGAACTTGGGCACCAGGGTAAGTGGCAGGTATTGGTTAGGACTTTGCAAGATTTGAGTCTGGGCTCAGTTGCATCTTGCTCCCAGCAGAGATTTGGATAAAAAACAAAAATGGAAAGACAGAATTTTCCCAGAGCTATGTCACAACACTGGTTACCAGGGGTCTCCTCGGACACCAGGGACCCTGGTCTTGATGCCTCAAAGTGTCTTATAATACTGCTCCCCACATGGCAGATATGGATAACCAACTATGCCAAACTCCAGTGTGGGGCCTTTCCAAGACTAAGGTGGTGAGTATAGGCTGGGTGGCTCCGTGGGAACAGCCCACCTTAGGAGAGAGTCAGATGAGATAGCCTCCTTGCTTCCCAGGGTTCCTGCTTTCCCATTTTCCAAAGGCAAGGGCCAGGCTCGGGGACACAAAGCACCAGGGCTATGATATCCATCACTGTAGCATAATTAATTTAGATCCAATGAATAAAAGCTAGATCACATTCAAGATTTGCTTTCTGTTGCAGTAAATGTATTTAAATACTGCATCAGGAAGGGCAGGTTATAGAGTGGGAATCCATTACTGCAGGAAGCACTGTCACCAACATTCCCTAAACTCTGGGTAACTAAAGGGCAGAAGTCTGTCTTGAGCCCGTAAAGGGAAATGGCTTTCATTCCCAGCTCTCTCCAGCTACTGAGAAGCCACCACCCTGGTGAATCACCATGAAGTGTGTAGAATCTTGCCACCCTGTGCGGTGTGCTCTGGGGCTTAGAAAGGAGCTGTGGTGTGTGGAGGTTCCACAGGCAGTGGAAAATGCGAGATTGCCTGCAAGAACCAGCAAGGTGCTGATGACCCATGGGGTTGGGGGTGAAGGTTGTATGCACAGGCAGGCAGGCAGGCAGCAGGGCACCAGGCTCGCAAGGTGAGGAGGTTAGTAACATGCATGGGCACGACAGTCAGAGGAAGATTAGACTCACGCCTGCACTTACATGATGACGGTTTTCTTGGGGACTTTTGTCTCCTGCTCAGTGACTACAAAGAAAACAGTCGGAACAGCAACCGTTACAGTCAAGCAGCGCCCAGGGGCCAGCTATCAGAGTGGTGGTGGCAAACATAGCAACCTGCTTGATGTAGGAGCATGGGCTGGTTCTGCCTGTCTGTATGTTCCTGGGGAGACCTTTGCTGTTGGGGAATCCAGTTTTGTCATCTGTGTAATGTGAGCAATACCTGTCCTATGGGTGGTGTCAACCTCTCATGTCACATGAAGAAAGGACCTAGTGTCCTTAGGGTACTCTTACTCATTCCATAGCCCACAAAGTCCTGTGATGTTGTCATGCATATGGTTCCATTTCTCAGACACAGAATCTGAGCAAGCCCAGAGAGGGAAAAAGAGGGCCTGGAGCTGCACATCGAGCCATCAGCCACACTAAGGCTAGGCTAGGATGGCTGATCCTCTTATACACACACAAAAAAAAAAATCACAAAGACTAAGTAGGGGTGGACCCTGGAGTTCTAAAAACAGCACTCACAGTGGGGGAGCCCCATAGATATTCTTCTAGGAACAGCCCTAGACAGTGCCACAGCATGGGAAGGGGACCTGTCTCTCTCAATGGAGACAACCCCAGTATGTCTCTGCCCCATAGCCAGTGAATGGGGCCCGCAGTTCTCATCTAGTATATGGGGCTCTAGGTCCAGAAACAAGCTGTGTCTGTCTCCATCCAGCCCAGCACAAAGGCTCTTCCCTATAGTACCCTCAGCTGGTATCTCAGATGCACCCCCACACACAAGGCTTGGCAGCCGGGCAGTAGGAAGACTGTAGGTTATCTGCACCCTCCCATCTGAGGATCCTTCTTTACAATGACTGTAGCCTGGGACACTAGCTCATGACTCCTGGTTTGCTGCAAAGCCACATAGAGGAGGGCAACAGAGAAGCCGAGGTGCGCGTGAGTTAAAGTACCATTAGTGTCTGTGTGTATGGAAGATACATTTACTATGTGCTTATATATAGGCTTGTAATGCATATGTCTTACACACAAGCACATATATGCTTATATATGTATATACCTGTACACACATGCATACATGTGTGCATGTGCATGTATGTATTGTGTGCATGGATATACACATGTCACACATATATGTATGCACATGTGTGTAGGCATGTACGTGTATGTGTGTGCATGTGTGTGTGTGTGCATGTAGGTTTCCCCTAATGGGAAGGGATCCCACAGTGAGAGTCTGGGATCCAACCACAGACCTCTATGTTCCCACCAGCTCGAGCAACTGTCACCTTCCCTAATGGATCCCACTTTCCTACTCTCAAGGGTAGTGGGCACAACACCTCTGAGAACATTTCTGGTTCTTTTGCTCACAGCCCAGCTTTGGGCCTGGGTATAGCTGGCAACCACAGGCAGGCTGCAACTGTGCAAAGCAGGGCTCCCAGCCTGATGCAGGACGGAAGCAAGAGGGCAGCAACACCCACAGAGTTCTGTCAGGCCATTCTGGCTGCAGAGCCGCGGAGTTAACAGGAAGCAGGATGGGAGTTAGGAAGCAGGTTGCAGGACTCCGGCTCCAGGGTCTTCCAGGACCAGCCTTCTTGTCTCTCCAAGGCACTGATACACATCCAAACCCAGTGAGTCCCGAAGGCCTGCCCTCCATACTGCCACCCCTCTTGTGTCCCAGAAAAAGACTCATCATGGCAACAAGTAAATGAGTACAGAGGCTGTTCTTGCGCACAGTAGGACGCGCACAAGGGAGGATGTGTACAGGAAGTGGACATCCTGGTGGCAGCAGACGCAAGTACCCATAGTGCTTCAGTTACCAGGTTGTGGTCAGACAGTGTGTGGGAAATCACAGAGAAGGCCTTTTCCAGAGGGTCAAAGAGAAGAAAAGACATTTGCTCATCATGGAAGGGAGTCTCTGAGAGGACAATGGAGGACATCACAGGTCCCAAGGCTGAGCTGCTGAGCTCTAACTTGGCTCAGTTCTGAGAAGGTCTAAAAAAACAGGACCACAAAATGGCAGGAACCAATTCCAGTGGCCAAGGGACCACACGAGCCAGCTTTCAGTAATAAAAGGAATATATTGCACTTCTTCTACTATGGAAGTTGTGGCCCACTTGGTATTGGTCTGGTCTCTGTTTGCATTCCCCCAGGTTGTGAGGTTCTCCAGTATCTGGGGAGCACCTTCCAGATGGGAGAGCACTAGCTGGTCCCTCCCCACCCTGACTGTCCATGCAAGTGTCATAATTCTCCTTATGTAGCTATTTCCTCCAAATCAAAACACTTTCTCTTGGAGGGAGGTTCATTAAGACTCAAGAAATCAACAAAATTCACAAGGCACTGCTCTGCTCCCAGGTTACCTAAGCAGTAACAACTGCTGGGGAGGGGAAACTTTGACGGGCAGAGCTGCCGCCAGGTTCTTCTGAGAGTTCCTAGGACATGTCTTTTTGACTCCTCGCTCTTGCTGAAGCCAGCTTCCAGTGATACCTGCATCTGTGTCCTGAGAGTGACTCCAGTAATCTCACTGGTTCACTAAGTTAGACTTGGGTGGAACTGTGTTTTAATCTGTCATCAGTGCCATTTCTGGGATAAACAGATGTCTCTTCTCACTAGTTAAAAGCTGCACAACACTGGTGGTGCCTGCATAGGGGCAAGAGACCCAAGATACTAAGTGGTCACACGGATCCTGCGATGGAGGCTGACATACAAACTCAGGATCCATCCCGCTAAAGCCACCAAAGGGCAACAGCACCTCAGCATGAAGGACCCAGATGGGTCCTGGAAAACGTCTGTGAATTGTGGAAGACTAGGTATTGTAGCACCTCCCACGTGTGCCTGATACTGCTCTTTGATGAAGCAACAGACAGAAGTGATATGATCTTTTTCTACTGTGCTGGCTGTTTACTGTGTTCCTCCTTTAATACAACCCTAGTTGACCAAAACCACTCCGCACTTACTTGAAACGGATGATAGTTGGCCTTCAGAGAACCCACCCACCCTCTGTAAAGAAAAAGTTTCATCATAGAATGCTGAGCCCTGAGGAGAGTCTTACAGATTGGTTAAAGCAGTGACAGAGTGCAGGTGAAAGCACCTGCATGCACAGGAAGACTCCAGTAGAAGCATTGGCTAAAAGTCCCAGTGCCGGGGTGGGCTGCCTCTCTACAAGTTGTGATCTATGGAGGCCCCCACCCCAAGCCTTCCAAACCATAGAGGCTGTTGTCATTGTTGCATATCAAGGCTAAATAAAGTTCCTGTTGCTGAACCTGCCCCTCTTTGGTGGCTGGACCACTGGTGAGAAGTGTCATGAAACGTCCTCACCAGCTCTGAATGGCTCTGTGTGCTACAATATTAATATTCCAAGCAAGACGTGCTTGCTGGTACAGTCTTGGTGTGACTGTTATAGGGACAGCCGTCTACTTTCCTATAGATTTAAAGTCTGCTCCAGGGGAGGGGATTCACATACAGTAGAGCAAGGAAGGACAAGAGCCTGTGGTCCCACAGGGCAGGCAACTACTATTATTTTGTTCTCTGGCTGTGATGTTCTTCTCAAATTGCCTTCTAAACATTTACAGACATCACTTATGGCTGCTTCCAGCTTTGGTCAGTCAATTTGGTCAGTCATAGAGGAAAACTTATTTTTTTCCAAATGAATTTTTTCCAATGAGGGGTGTGCTATAGAGACCCATATTCTATTAGCTCCTGAAACCAAATAACTGTTTCTCTGATACGCTCAGCCATGGATGGAAGAAAACAATCAGATACCTATACCATCCCTTCTAAGACTCAGGGAACATCCAAAAAGGCAGTCAAGAAGGATGTAAGAGCCAGAGGAAGAGGTGAGATACTATATGGCTATGTCTTCCAGACCAAAACATGCCTTTAACGAGGGAAACCCATGAAGACATGGGAAGTGCACAAAATTTACAAAGCTCAGAAAGTATGGTCAGATAAGTAGTAGCCATTACTAAGTCAACCCAGAGAGCTGCCTGCACGTGTGTGGAATGGGTGACAGGCTTCAGGGATGTAGCTTTCAAGATTCATCACCCATGCTGGGATGAACTGTAGAGTGAAACAGCTGCCTTTGGGTTATGCATGTGTCTGTAAGTGATCCCAACAAACTCATCAGCTTACCAAGACTTGTGTAGAATTCTATTACTGATGCCCGATTGTCTATCCCTGATGGCCTATCTGAAATGAACAGACATCTGCTCACATCTTCCAGGAGAAGTAACAAAATTCAACTTCTGTCCATAGGCTTGTTTATTTTGTTTTAATATTTGTTTCGATTTTGTGTCTGTACTTGTGAGCACTGCCACTCACCGAGACAAGACAGGGTCAGATACCTGGAGCTAGATTCACAGGCAGTTGTGAGCTGCCTGGCATGAGTACTGGGAACTGAACTCTGGTCCTCTGCAAGAGCAGCATATGCTCATAACTTGGCAGTTATCTCTCGAGCTCCTAGTAAGGCTTATTTTGTAGCTTACTCCTACCCCACACTGGTGCCCCAGGAATAGCCTTGGGCCAAGACAAGGACTTCACAGTGTATTGTGTCTCTCGAGGAGATTCCTTCCCAGTCTTCTGCATCAGTGTGGACCCCTCCCCCACTCCTGCTGCCACTTGCACAGAGCCTCCACGAGCACTTCCAGTCTAGCTGAGGTAAGCCCTGCTGTGTCCTTTCTGCAGACACAATACCTGAGTAGGACTGTGGAGTCCCCATTATTCAGGGTAACTTCCAGCTCTCATGCTGGACTCAAGACCTTCCAGCACTTACAGCTGCGTACATGACCCTGCAGCTGCCCTCCTCTGACCTCACGTGCAGCCTCCTGGACTTTCAGCCTCCATCATTCCCCACCCTGAGATGCTAGCCAGCCCCCTCCTCCTAGAAACAGCGATGATAGTTTTGATTCCACCAGGCTCTTTCCAAACCAGTGGAGGTTCGAGCCTATGGCTAAAAACTTGTGACTCACTGAGACATCACAGACATACAGCCTACCTTCCACGGCAGCCACAAGCTGTTCCCGGTGGTGCTGGTCCCGGGCACGCAGTGCCGGGCTCTGCATGTAGAGTTCTCCACCGCCACGTGTTGAGCCCAACCGGTTCACCAACTGTCAAAGGACAGCAGAGGCCACTAGAAGTCAGACTCCTCGAGGAATCTGGACCCTCAAAGGAGTCTAGACCACTTTGATGGTCTACCATGGGGTCACTACCCTGAGTATGTTTTGTATAGAGGAGAGGGCTCCTAGCCCAGTCAGGGACTCCCCTAGAGACATTCTCTCTCTCTCTCTCTCTCTCTCTCTCTCTCTCTCTCTCTCTCTCTCTCTCTCTCTCTCTCTCTTTCTCTCTCTCTCTCTCTCTCTCTCTATCTCTTTCTCTCTCTCTTCCGCCCTCCCTCCCTCCCTCTCTCTCTCTTTCCATCTAGGATGAGGCTGTCCTGTCCAAGCTGAAGAGAAGGAGGGTGCGAGCACCTGAAATAGTAGAAATCTGGAACTGGAGATAGCTATAACTATGGATTTAAGTCACTACATGGCCCCTGGCATCTGTGCCATCTAAACCAGAGTTAACTTGGGCACCTTTGCTTCCAGGAAGTCTTAGGGAAGTCAAGTGCCCTAGGGCCACAGTCAAAGCCACACAGGGCTTTGACTTCTGGACAAGAACTCTAGCAAGAGCTGGACACAGGATTCAGACTGCTCTCCACCTCAGATCTGAGGACAAGGAGCACAGAGACGGAGGCCAGCTTGCCTGGGCAAGGCAGAGCTCTGTCCTGTGTAATGCCAAAGTCGTCAGGCAAGTGGCACTACATTTTTACGTTAGTGACTGACAGCTGAGGTCAGCACTGGATCCCCTCCAACTGGCAGATGCTAAGCCTCCTCTTGAAGTGGTGGGGACAGTGGCAAGGGGACAAGATGATAGAGACCAGCCTAATGTTAAAGGAGAGGCTACAAGGCAGAGGACAGGTGGCTGCGGACAGTGGGTGACAGCAGTCTGATTTCCCCCGGTCAGCCTAGCCCATCCATACCTATACAGTGGAGCCTGGGCTCGATCAGAGCCTGGAAGATGGGTCTTGTTCTTCACAAGTTCCTCACCTCACATTCATAGTGTCCCAGGTCCTCTTTGCTGGCCGCCTGGATCACTAGCGCCAGCATGCCACTGCGGGGCTCATTCAACATCCGGTACCTGTTGCCCAGGGTCAACAGGGCACCATCCTTGTACCACCTGGAGCCAGCCAGAAAGTGCTGTGAGCCGGTGTTCTGCCAGGGCCATCTCCATGGTATCCTCAGGGTGCTTGGAGCACCCCCAGACAAAGCTACCTGATCTTAACACCTCCGCCAACCTGCCCCAGATCCAGTATCCTTAGCAAGTTCCTTTCCTGGAAGCCACGGTTGAACCATGTTTTCCCAGCCACAGAAGGCCCTATGTCCAGCAGGAGTCACAACCCCGTGATACCCACTTTGTAGTGATAAGTGGCCACATACAATGCACACCCCCCCACCCTCAGATCAGGAGATCATACTGCTTAGCCCTCCCACCACTGGCTGGAGCTGCAGCCCAGGCCTTACCTGATCTGAGGGTACGGGGCTCCTTCCACTGTGCAGGTGATCTGTGCGTCCTCTCCCTCCACAAAGGGTGTGGCCCGGACCTTGTTCACAAATCGTGGGGGCACTGTGGGCAGAAGCAGGCAAGGGCAGGAAGGACAGAAAGATGGAGCCTTTGGGTGGGAATTGGCTGCCCTCATTTCCAGCAGTGACTATTCTCTGGGAGTCTTGGGGAGGCCCTGAGTCACCCCATACACCAGCCCTTCCACAGCCTATCTGGGCAGGGTTCATACCACGGACTATAGACTAGACGACCCCCTCTACTCACCTTGTACTAGAATCTTCCCCAAGGTGCTGGCGTTGCCAGCAGCACTGGCCGCAAAACACATGTACTGGCCAGAGTCTATGCCAGTAAGGTTGTCCAAGATGAGGGTACAGGAGCCGTCAGGGTCTTCAATGAGGATGTGGTGTGGGTCCACCTCCACTGGCTTCCCATCTAGAAAGCAGGGGCAAGCTTTCATGCAGTAAGGTCCCGAAGGCTGATGCCCAGGAATAAAAGGCTGGCTGCAATCTGTCTCTCCACATCTCTTCCCCCAGCCCTCCTGCTCCCTCTCCCCTCACCCCCACCCCTGATCTCTGAGTGTCTATCCACAAGGGCTCTGACGCAGATATCTGTCTCTGGCCAACTTCAACGTTCTAGCAACAGAGGCTGGTGGGCAGGCCTGATCTCTAGACACTCAATAAACTCAGCTGCCTTGTGTCAGCTGCACCTCCCCAATGACTGTAACTCTCGGGGATCTTACATGGTGACGAATGTCCAGCATACTTGATGTGAACTCCTCTTCCCTCAATCTCCTCTACCCCCCAAATCTAAAAGCCTGCGTGAGCTATTCCCTAACACCTCTCCTCCTCTTCCTCCTCTCCCTCCTTCTCCTCCTCTTCTCCTTCTCCCACATCTGACCCCATCCTATAGCCAGCTCAGACCTCAGTACCAGGCCTGTCAAAAGGGCCCCGCTCCAAGGCCACCCTTGTGCCTTTCCTCTCACAGTTAAAGTTCCAGTTTCCTCAGCCATGAACAGCCAGAACCACACCCCCCCACACCAAACACACACTCAGGGAAAATATGTGTCCAGCAAAGCTGTCCCAGCTCATCCCAAGGTAGGCACTCTTGATCCATTTTCAATGTATGAACACACCAGACACCTATTTTACAAGTCATCTCCTCTGTAAAACATTCATGAAGATGGAAAATTCTGAACCAGTCACTGAAGGTCATGCGTGACCTCATGGTAAGAGATTGGAAATCTAAAATCTCTCACTACGTCATCATATGATGACACCCACCCACCGTGGCAGGCAAGCCTGCTTCTTTCCTGAGTGGGTGGTGGGGAGCGATGGGTACTTTCCCTTAGAGAATCCACAGTCATTAACATTCAAAACAAGTGAAACTGAACAGATTCACATATTCCGATGGTTCTGGCTGTATCTTGGGCTGGAATCCATCCCATCCAGCATGTGGAAATCTTGAGAAAGTGTCAGCCTCCCAGCTCTGATGGACACAGATGCCACATTCCTGTCCCACCCAGTCTGACACTGAAAGGCCATATATGAGGGCCAAGGCCTGGGCTTCTACCTCTAGATGCTCTGCATATTTGTGTCCCTCCACTATGGACACACCCTACTCAGGTGGGACAGACGCCACGTAGAAAGCACAGGAGGTCATTGTTATCCAGCCCAGTCTCCTTGTGCCTTCCAAGATTGGCTGACAAAGACAACACAGAACTCAGGAGAGAAAAGTGTCCAAGGATTCACTGAGGTCAAGTCATGCTCCATGGCCTTGAATGATGTCAGGGAACTGGCTACAGGAGATGGGTTAGCTCAGTTAGACCAGGCACTCTGTGTAGCTTCAGTTGATATGGACATCCTCGGTGAGACTAGCAGCTGCTGACGGCCGTGTTAGGGACACCAGTTGTGTCTCCTTTTTTTGTCTTGGATAATAAAGACCAAAAATCCCTTTGAGTTCACAGGACCAGGTATGTAACATACATACAAGGCTCCTCTAAGTCTGGACATAGCGCTTAGAATTTCACGGTTCTTTGACAGTCCATTTCTGCTGGATCAGCGCTCTTCTGGTTGGTAAGTTAGAAGCATCTGTCTCAGATAGCAAGGCTGAGCTGAGTTCCACCAGCAGGGCAGGCTGAGAGACCTAAAATTCAGCGTTCTGTTCCCAGCATGGAGTGCCTCAGAACTGCATCAGCATTCACAGTAACAAATCTTTGTCTTTTGGATCCTCTGACTTCCACAGGTGAACCAACACTTTATAGGACTCCTGGACCCTGAGGACAGTATGTGTTCCACCTACATCTTCTCTATGGTCCCAGCCAGTTTGGAGTTGACTTGAGGGATTCCCAGAGGCCTACAGCTTGCAGTGGATTTTCAGAACTCCTCACAGGGAGAACTTCTTTGAGCTCTGCTCTGGTTTCGGGGTGGGTCCCTTGGAGGTTCCTGTGGTGGAAGCTTGGTCTCCAGTGTTGATTATACTGAGGTGGTAAAACCTCTTAGGCGGAGGGCTCAGGGGTGAAGTGAATTAGGCCACTGAGGAAGGTGCCTTGAGAAGGGGTTGATGCTGGTTTCTAGGAGTAACTCCGTAACTTCTGAGAGCAGCCCGAGCCCCTCTTGCTTCCTGTCTCCCATGATTGCTCCCTCCATCCACTATGTATTTCCCCCTGCCCCCATGATGCCTGGTGCCACACAGCATTGCAGCCAGCCAACAGGAGCCTCACCAGGTGACACTGTGCTTTTTGGACTTTCAGCCTCCAAATCCTATTATCAAAGGAAAAATCTCCTTTCTAAAGAATACCGACGCTGGTACAGAGCAACAGCAAGTGGAAGCTCTAATGTTAGCAGGCTTTTACATGGTCCTGGGCAAGCTTTAAGTTTCTGAGAGTCATCCTTCTGCCATCTGAAGTCTCTGGCATAGAAAGCACAGCTTGGGGCTTGGATCTGATCTCTTTCCAACATGGCCACTAGACACATTGCTCTTGAAAATCAATTCTTTGCATGTGTGGGGCTCTGGTGGAAACCAGAGTGTTCAATTCAGTGATGTCCTATATGTCTCTTCTATGATGAGCCAGTTTGGACTCCAGGACAAGCAGTGCATATCCCGCCTTCCTCTTAAAATGAAAGAGATGATTTTCCAACATTGATTCCGAACTTGAACATGTGGCTACCCTCTCAGAATGGAGTGCTCTGCCCGGCTTGTTCTACCCCAACGTCAAACTACATTGGTCCCCATGGGTCTGGACCCATGGATCACTCATTGTCCAGATAAGCAGGAAGCCAGCAGCACACAAAGCTCTGCAGCTGGGTGGAGATGTGTCTCTCTGTTCAGTGGGTGGAGTTCAAGGCCATTCTTAGAGCTTTGCCCCTGTTACTGCCTTAGTGAAAGCCATTATATTCTTACTGTTCCAGCGGTTTGCCCTGCCATGTAAACAACTAGAGTGTCAGGTCACAGGAGTCCCTCTTTGGGACCACAGAGCATGGATCAAATAAAGATGAACACTTGATAAACTGAGGACACCTCACCAGAGCACCAGGACTCTTGAATGGAACCACCATCTCATTGGGACCCACCCCCAGCTAGACAAACACAAAGCTATGCTACACACTAGACAGAAAGCTATTGAGAGATGCTCTCAAGTCTACAGAGAGTATGGCTGCATCATGTGGGGTATCCACACCCCTACTGTGGCAGATGGGCCCAGGAAACCAGTCATTCTTCTTAGCATACTGCTTCTGGTCAGTGAATGTGGCCTTGTGGCCAACACGAACCATGTGGTGCCTGTAGTATACATATGCAAACATATATGTATATGTTTATGTATATGTGTGTGTGTGTACACACATGCTAGTGTGTATCCATGCATATATGTATGTCTGGTGTATACCTCTGTGTTATATTCATGCATATGGCATGTTTCAGTATGCACCAGTATAGTGTTCATGTTACATATGTGTGCCGTGCACATACAAGTATGTGTGATGTGTGTGTGTGATCTGTGATGGGGTGGTCCACAGCTAGGTAAGTGGTCATGGAGTCACATTTTCAGCCTCAGGACTGGCTCTAGGTGCTCTTGGTCACTGTCAAGCTGTCATCTGTCTTCATCCTTACTTGCTGATGGTCCCTCTTTCAAGCTGTTCACTATTCCTCATCTCTCCAGATTCTGGAAGTCAGAGGACCTGTGGACTCACTAACGCCAATGACACAGTATAAGCCATGCTATAAGCTCTAGGTCACAAAAACACCTCACATCAGTAGTGTCTGTGGTGGGCACTCTGTCCTTTGGCTGTGTCAATGTGACCTCAGACTGAGGCTGGCCAGGTGAGAAGTCAGGCATGGCCACTGGTCCAGATCCAGTTAATACCCTGAACTGGAAAGTTTGGCTGATCATCCTTGCTACGGACACTGAACCTCTCTGCATCATGCACCAATGCTGGGAGCCAAGGGAGCTGGCCCCAGAACTCCACTGGAAGGGATAAATCAAAGCTTACACATGGCGACTCGTGGACTCTGCTCAGCTGACTTCAGGCTAGCCCCTTCTGCTGCAGTAAGACACAACCCTGAACGGAACCACTCTGCTGAATTTCAATGAGTCCATGGAGTGAATGATTAAACTGGAAGAGGCTCATGGGACTTGGATCCTGCAGCTGGTGTCAGAAATGAGAGGACTCTGGGGATTCCCAAACTTGGCATCAGAATCATGAGTGCTCTTGGGGACATCTCAACCCACAGTTGATAACAGGAATACAGATTCTAGGGAACCCAAATTTGCAGCAGTGTCGGCAGTGAAATCTGTTGGACACTTGGACCTTTGCCGTTCTGTCACAGCTGGACGAGGCATGTGCACCATGACCCTCAGTCCCCGCACTGTCCGCAGCCCACCCCCCTCCTCATAGCTCTACTTTGCCATGACACTGCTTGTTGTGCCCTATGACATATTGACCAGAACTGCTCCTCAGGCTCATGGCTACTGCTTACCCAGGCCCTCATGTCTGCCTCTCAATCATGCAGAAACTTTCAGGCCTGTTAGCTCAGAGGGCTGTCCTGCTCTTTGTCACTGCCCAGTTCCACTGGTCCTCTGGGTGGCCACAGTACTACCTAGCTTTTGGTTTACTCATCCCTCGCCTGTCCCCTACCCTACATCATGCTCTTGATCAGATCCTGTCTCCTGCCCATCATGGACCACTGGCTAGATCTCACATCCTCAGAGATTCATCCGTGTTGCGGAGCCATCGCCCCACAGTAAAGCTGGCCATCCTCATCTCTGGGACATACCTTTGTACCAGCTGACAATAGGCTTAGGTGTGCCAGTCACTCGGCATGCTAGCTTGACTGTCTCACCCAGCTCGGCTGTGCAGTCAGCTAGTTCCTCTTCAAACTCAGGGGGACCTGAGGATATACAAGGGGGTTCCCAATGTTATGTGTGTAGCAGGTTAGGCCTACGATCTTAATTGTATATACCCTGACAGGTTACCCCACCCGATGCTAGATACACCATGTCCAACAATGTGGCTGCTACCATCTGAGATCTGAACTTAGAATCAGAGGTGAGTAGGGTGAGTTGGATGCACAGTAGGAAGGGATGGGAACCATGGTGGAAAAGGAGGAGTTTGGGGAGATTCCTCTGTAGGTAAAAGCTGGTCCAGGGTGCAAGATTCCCTGATAACTTGCAGAATCCAGACGGATGTCCTGAGCTTCGGGTCACTGTGTAGGATCTTCCCATCATGCCCCTCCTTGGTCGGGGTAACCTGATACTCTACCTGAATTTCCCCATGAGGATGTAGTTATTATATCCCATTGAGAGCCCACAGAGGAGAAAGTGGAGCCTTTTCCCCTCCCCCCAAAAAGCCAATGCCCCTGTCATACTCAGAATGCAAGGACCAAGGTAGTACCACCCAACTACCTGAGACTCAGGGTCCCAACAGCCAGGATGCAGCCCAGCCAGACAACTAGGATGAAAAAGGTCATGTTCCCATCCTGTTGTGACCACTACGGCCCACAAAAGGACACTCACGCCATACTGGCTGGGCAAGGCGCTGCTGGATGCCACAGATCTCCTTCACCCACGAGTTTTTGATGATGACAGTCCGTGCCTGCAGCAGGTACTTGCGCACAGAATCTTCCCGCTCGTGCCACACCTCAAAGGCACGGTCATCCCCCTCTACCTGGTCATTCAGGTCGATGCTACTCAGCTGTGAGGAGAATGTGACCACCCTCAGATGGTGTGGGACCCAGGCGGGACACACATAGGCTATCCTGGACCCAGGGACTGGCCACTGATACCCACCCTGATATTTGAGAGGCAAATAGGCCTCTGCCCACTGCACATCCACTGCTCCTACAGAGCCCTCGGCAGCCCCTACACATACAGACCTTCATCATGTTCCGGAACACATAGCTGAAGGTATCAGTTCGAGAGTCTCTCCTGGGCTTGCAGATCACCAGGTGGTTTCGGAAGAGGAAGACATGCCGGTTGTGGCCCTTCCAAGGCATCCGGGCCCCTGGAGCCCCCTCCCACACTATGAAGTGGCCCTGGAAGTGTGAATGAACTCTAGTTAGCCACACCTCCCCCATGGATGTGAGCTCCACTGATATCATGTATCCAGTTCACTGTCAAAGCCATACAGTCATCCACATGCCAACAACTCCAAAAGCCTCATACAGTGTCACACACATACATACATACAACACACACACACACACACACACACACACACCAGGTACCCAACAGCCCCACCTGGCGGATAGGTTCTCCCAGGGCCTCCAGGGTTCCTGGATAGTTCTCCATGAGGGAAACGTGCAGCTTGTTCTCGGCACGCTGAGGCAGGGCAGACACCACAGCATAGGCCTGTTCCAGCAGCGCACAGTTCTGCCGGTTTCGGGCCTTGTTGCGGATTAGCTCCTGAGGTAAAAGACCAAGAGTCACAGATCCACAGAATGCTCTGAACCCAGGAATCCCCTCTCTCCCCCAACAGGTGCAGCCTGCACAGATGAGGCTGGAACATGTCACCTTCAGCAAGGCCTGGTATTTCTGCACCCGTTCCACTGGCTGCTCCAGGTAGTGCTGAAGAGGAGGTGGAGGTGGCTGTGTGGGGTCCTTGGCTGACAGTGTCTCTTCTGCATATTTCTATAGGAACCAAATAATTGGTTTTGTGCATGAATTCATGGTCCCTTGATGGGTAGAGTCACCTTGATGTGGAGGCTAGGCACCAGGGGTGTCACAGGCTCCACAGCCCTGAACCACCCCACCCCCCAAGCATGGCTATGTCCTCTGAGAGCTAAAGGATGGTACCAAGAGTGCTGATGTACAGCCCTGCACTGACTGACACTGGGTCACCCTGTCACTGGTGGTGGCATAGGGCTTGGGCAGCTTAAATAACAGCTGAGGAGTACTGAGCTGTGGGAACGTCTATTGCATTTCCCACTAAGCCAGGGCACAGGAAGGCAGTGCGTATGCAGTGGTGTGGGCTGAGGAAGGTGAACTTGGACTGGCCACATAGACCGGTGGACCTACATCTTAGAGAGCATTCAGCAAGAACTGGGGCCTGGGAGCAAGCAGGGCGGATGGGCTCGAGACAGACAGGAAGCACCTTGTAGAACTCCTGGACTGGGGTGCTGACAACCACTGATTCAGCTTGCACGCGGCCCACCAGGAACTCCAGGTACTTCTCGAAGGCCTCTTGGTTCTTGATAAAGCACATGGCCACATCATCGTCGGTGCCGCAGCCCTGCAGCTCCTTCAAGAAGCTGCCACAAAGGGGACAGTGTCAGCACCTCCTGCCATCAACCAGCTCCAGGCCGTCTCCTCAAGAAGAAGGCCAGGATCCTAATCAGGGACTGAGCTCCAAGGGAAGGGGAGTATGTTGAGTCATGTATGCAAGAAGTGCGTGGTTGTGTGCCCATCTGCCCATGCGTGAGTGTGGACATATATCATGTGTGCACATGTACAAAAGCATTCATGTGTGGGTGCACATTTATGCAGGTTTTCTAATTCTAATAGCATGCATGCATATACATGTAACCACGCACAGATGCAGACACATATGTATATGTGCAGTGTAGTGTGCACATTTGTGATGTGCATGCCTATTGGTACAGGTGTGTACATGTGTATGCTCATGTGTACTTGTATGCCTGGGTGACAGTGTACATGCATAGAAACCTGCAGTTATGTGCACATGTTGGTATGTGTGTTGTAAGATATGCACAAGTAGAGGGTGTGAAATGTTCTGCATATCCATGAGCAGGCATGTTAGTATGAGTTTGCATGTGTGTGTATAAGTATTCACATACAAGAACATGGGCATGCACAGTGTGGCAGCTATGCATCTGCACATGTATGCACATGCATGTGTATGCCTACATATGAGAGTCTACATGCATATGGGCTGTGTACACACTACTCAGAGGCAGCCATACTGCAGGATTTACCCTGCAGAGCCAAGACACCCAATATGGGAAGTTCTGCCTTGTGACGTATTAGCACAGGCTGTCCCCTCCTCAGTTCCTGCCCACCCTCCATGAGGCCTGACCTGCAAATAGGTGCTCATATTCACATGTGCATGCACGTAGCCCCACCCTCCCACCTGCTGTGGAAATGGCTGATGTCCTGGACATTACGAAAGATGACTGTCTTCTGGCTGGCCACAGCTGCGGGTACACGGGGAGATCGGTCCAGGTGCTTCATGTGGTGGCTCTCCAAGAACTGCAGCTCACCCACAAAAGCCTGCTCTGAACTCAGCAACTCCTGGATGACAGAGCTGGCAGAAGGAGAAGCCATTAGGGGGTACTCAAGGGCTCAGTGGCCACAGGATCCTGTCCCTTTCGAGGCCCTGGGAACAGCATCATCATGAGATGGCTTACTCTCGTGTAGCCCCCATCCCCCTCAGCTGCTAAATTTGGGTACTGCTTCTTCCTGAAGCCTACTGACAACTTAGAGAGAGGATGAGGAGTGCCTGGGGAGGGAACCACTCTCTGCATATCTGGTTGGGGTTGCCCCCCAACCCAAACCAGGGAAGTAAGCTGGCATAGCCCATGTGAGGACAGCTGCGGGAATCAGCGTCAAACCAGTGCCGACTCTTCTCTATCTCCACCCATCCCTGAGACAGAGTAGGCAATCACAGCCCCCACAAAAGCAGCATGTCGGAACTCCATTTGGACCCTGAAAGAGGGCAGGCAACAGGTCCCCGAGAGCAATGGGCCAGCCAGGGAAAGCTCTACCAGAAACTCACCTCAGCCTTGTTCTATACTCATCCTCAGACACAGCCTCACCAGGGAACTCGGGGGCCTCAGTGGGTCCCCACTCAGGAGACAGCTAGTGAGGAACAGGTGTCAGTTAGAGGTAGTCTGAGCTCTGACTCTGCCCCTGTGGAGGCTCCTATCCTAATCATGACAATACCAGAGTCCTCTAGGTTAGTGACCTGAAGACCCTCTCCCGTGAGTCCCCCAGCCAAGTACCTTGAGTCTCTTGTCCAGGTAGGCAGGTGACACCCAGCCCTGCCTGGAAGGGCTGGATTTGGTGGGCTTGGTGCGTACAAGCCAGCGCAGGGGATGGGCTGAATCAAGGACCTCCACATACTGGCCTTCTCGCAGAATGATGGCGTCCTGCTCAGCTCCCAGGGGCAGATAGTCAGCTGTGACCACGTAGATGTCAAAGATCTGATTGGGTAGGAAGATGAAATAAGTTGGGAGTGGGGAGGATAGAGTTACCAGCTAGGCTTATCAGGGTCCCCCAGCAGCCACCAGGGAAGGGGGAAGCCTCCCAGAGCCCTGGGTATCAGCCATGCCTGTTCAAGTCCCAGAACACAGGACAGAAGTCTTGGGGACATTCAGTGCAGTTACTGGCTCCCAATCCCACATAAGTGTCAGGAATGTGGATATTCTCTCTTGGCTTCCCCCAAAAGAAAGCACCACACCCTCAAGGACTCGACTCAGGAATATCTATACTCCTCATTGACATCTTATCACCCACACCTGGAACCTAAGAGGATGCCTGCTACACTAGATGGAGATGGTAGAGGAGGAGGAAAGGAAGAAGGGCAGGTGAAAGGAGGGAGGAGGACTCGGAAGAAGCAACTGTGTAGGGAGGCCTGTGGAATGGACCTGGTTCCTTACCAGCTCCTGCCTCCCATGTGTCTTGGGAACAGAAAGCAGACCCAGCTTCCCTGAAGCCAGGAGCTCATCTGATACCCAGTGACACACTCACTTTCCAAGACCTCCCTGGGGCCCTCCCCTGCATCTCTCATCTCTTCATCATCTCCCAGGAGCCCCCTCCCTATCATGTTCTCCAAGAGTCCTGGCCCACCTACCTCACCACGGGAGTCTCCATCCTCTGACTCTGAGGAGGACTCTTGAACACTGGAGGAAGGACGTGACCGGCCATGCCGAGGAGAAGCAGATGGTGTCTTGGATTCCTCATCACTGTCACCTCCAGGCACCTGGAGTTTGGCTAGATGGGCACAAGGGTTGTGATGTCCCCCCAATAGCCAGACAGTTTCCAGACCTTGGAGGCAAGAGAACCTCTGCCTCTGCTCAAGAGCACATGGCCCCAGCATCCTCTTGAGACACACACAAGCACCTCACCCTGTGAGATCTTGGCCGATACCATCTCGGTGATCTGCGAGGTTAGTTTCTGCAGGAACGCTTCTGTGCCCACCTCAGCAAGGGACAGGTGACTGTGGGCCTCCTCAGCCACAAGGGACTCACCTGGGGTGATAAAAGTGAACCTCAATCAACCATCCTTCCCCAGGTGTCTACTGAATATTTCCTACACCACAGGCCCACTTTTGGCCCTAAGGGATGGCAGACGCACAAGACCAGGCTTCTTAATGGTGCTAGGGTTGGAAAAGGAGAACAACCTCTAGAGCCAGGGTGGTGAGGCTAGCCATATGAAATAATAGGAGGCTTTCTGTGGTCTGAGCCAATGGGCCCAAGACCAAGGAAAGGCAAACATGAACAGAGGGGACACAGTAGATGCAGCTGAGGAACAGTGCAGGTGGCTAAGGATCAACAGGGTACCCATGGGCAGTCAAGGGACAGCAGCCAACTGGGGAGTGGATGGCACAGCCAGGATCTGGGTTATGATATGGCACAGTAGGCTCAGTTGAACAGCAGGTAGCTTGTGGACAGTGGACACGCCAGCAGCAGGTGGCCATCATAGCTATGGGGTATGGGTGAAAAAGAGGACAGAGCTGCACAGGGGTCAGACCTTGGTTATCAGGCTGTGGAGGACCTGGAAAATTGTTCATGCCACCTCTGCTCTTGATGCCAGGCTTGCTGGCATCCCCATCCCACTGGATGTGAGCTCTGAGTCTAGGCTAGGCTTCCCTTGGGATCCCACAGGTTCCCAGACCCACTGAGGTCATAAATGGCTCTGACTTCAACCGAAGCTGAGCACAGGAGTGTGAGGACCCCTAACCCAGCACTGTTGCCAGGCAACTTCTTTTTCACCTGGCGTGGCTTGGGGTGAAGGGCTCAAGGTGTGCCCACCCTACCTGTACCTTTCCTCTGCCCGACAAGATCAGCAAAACCTGTGGATTCTGACATCTGGGCTGAGACAGCTTGGCTTGTCCTGTGGAAACGGGCATCGTGAGAGGTCTGAGGTAGGAGCCACCATCTTCCACCTCCCACCTCCCACCCTTGAGCAGAGACTTCTGAGAGGAAAAGGGTATGGAGGCAATGGTCTAGGATCCTAGTCATCATCTCCACACCAGAAGGATTCTGAGAAACCCTCATTCTGCACTGGAGAAACTAACGCATGGGAGGGAAGGGGTGAGCCCAGGTACATAGCCTGTGCAAGCCACAGCTGGTCTACACTGCGGGTCAGGCTGGTCTATGCCAGCAGCATAGTTGTGCTGTTCCCAGTTCCTAGGCATGGTCTGTGATCTTGGCCCTGGGGCCTTCAGAGAGCCTCACTCACCCTTGCAGGAAGGAGGAAATGAGGGCCTCCTTCACTCTCTCCTGCTCTTCCTCTTTGGCCACTGTCAAGAGAGTGGAGAGCCATTCATGGACCCTGAAGCTTCCAATTCCAGGTCTAGATATCCTCAGGACATTTGAGCTGCCTTAGGAATCTGGACTGTATTCTCTGAACCCTAAGCAGGTACCATTCTCAAATGGCCCTGCCTCACTCCTGACCGTGGTAACCAAGAATATGAGTCTACCCTCAGAGTGCCAGCCCACAGAGGGTTGAGCGAAGCTCTGGAGCAGAGAGCTCAGCTCACCCTGGAGACAGAGCAGGTGGGAATGCTGACCTGAGAGACTCTGAAACCCCACACCAAATTCTCCTGCACCATGAGACCTGAGATGCCCGGGGTAGGGGGTGGCTGATGAGAGAATGGAGGTGGAAGAAAAGTCTGGTCCCAGTACAGATGTTGAAGGTCAACATGCCCACCCCTCAAAAGCCCGAGTCCGTACACTGTCCAGCTCTGGTGCCCCTCCCATGGACATGATCCTGTCCACCCCTGACCCTTCACTCACAGCCGGAGATGTGAAGACTGGCAGAGCAGAGCGCCTGGCCAGCAGCGTTGGTGGCAATGCATGTGTAGGTGCCCTGATGCTGTCGGCCTACGTCTAGCAGGACCAGGCTATGCTGCTTGGAAGAGCTGGCCATGGTGTAGCCAGGGGTATCAGGGCCAATCCACAGCACTCCCTTCTCTGCCTCCTCCTTGAGCCAATGCACACTGGGAGCTGGGTGTCCTGAGAGACAGAGGGTAGCAAGTCCATCCCTGATAGAGACTGAACCCCACCAGGAGCCAGGCCCTCCCACAGGGACAGAGCATGGTGGGTAGCTGTCATCATGTCTGAGTTACCTCACCTTCCACCTTCACTGAAAAGGTGATGCTGGAGCCCCTCTTCACTTTCTTGGGGGTGAACTTCTCTAGGATTCGGGGTGGCACCAGCCTCTCATGAACATCTGGAAAGACACAGCCAACACATAGGGATCCCCTGACCAAAAACAAGAACAATCCCCTCCCCCCAAAACCCACCTCTGATGTCCTAAACTCAGAGGATCCCCTGAAACCTATGTCCACTGGCTGTCCACACTTTTGTCCACTCTGGCTTCCTGTTCATGGTCTGCTACCCTCTTGTGCCCATCTAGGGCTATCTCACCTGACGCTGGCTTCTCTTCTGGTTCACCAGGACCTGAAAACACAGAGTCAGACTCTCAGCACTCATAGGTGCTCTGACCCCTAGCCCCATACACGGTGTGTGCGGGTCCTGGTAGCCCCACTCCCAGAGCAAAGACATCCAAACCTCTTGAAACCTCAGCTGGAGAGCTATGGAGCTCACCACTTAGCATGGGGATGGCCACAGGCCACATGGACCTGATGGATGACATACTGCTACCCCTCCTTGTTACCCGCAGCCTCCCCAGACCTGTGGCCTTTATCTACACCCAAATGTGTGGACATGTGCACACCCAGCAGCTTAGGAGCCACATCACCCAAACTCTGGCAAAAGAGACCACAGGAAGCACAGCCACTCACAGCAAGATAGATTTGGTGAAAGTTTGGAATTCACTTTCCATGTTCAGGAAGAGGGGCCTCAAGGCCACCGTGGTCACCTGTTCCCTGCAGGGCTGAGTTCTGGCCATCTGAGTCTCTGCTCACTGGAGCAATGACTGCAGAGCCCAGGCCCTAAGGCTGATAGAGCTTGCAGCACACCTTTGCTTAGTCCTTCAGGACACCCACCTCGGACCAGCAGCCGGGCTGATGAATAGGCAGCACCCACAGCATTGCTGATGTAGGCTGCATATTGACCGCTGTCCTCCCGGGTGACGGAGACAATCTCCAGGGTGTGCAGGGTCTTTTTGTCAGTCATGCGGATGTGGTCAGATGCGGTCAGGGGCTGGCCATCTTTGAACCAGTACAGTTTGGGGGCTGGATAGCCTGAGGTAAACAAAGGCACATGTTCATCCCAAGGCCATCTCCCAATGATAATGGAAGACCCAGAGCAGAGGTCCCTCAGAAACTAAAGGAACAGGGCACACACATGACGACCCAAACACTGCTGACTGGGATCTCATCCCAGCTGTGGCTGGTAGGATGTGACCTCTGTTCTGTGGGACAGTGCCAATCCTTACCAGCTCCTCACCTTTCACCTTGAGCTGGAACTTGGCCAGGCGTGTGCCAGGGGCCACTTGGAGGTCTTTCAGTTCCTCTAGCACCTGGGGAAGCTGCCCCTCATCTGACTCTGTTCCCTCTTGCTCCCGGCTGTCAGGAAGGACCAACAAGGGGACACCCATATAAGTAAGAAGGCTCAAGGCAGGAGGGCCACCGAGATGATGTCAGACATGAAGGGATAGTGACATTCCCGCAAACTGAAGGACAGAGGAAACAGAGCCGCCATAGCCTGATGGAAGTCTCCAAGATTTGGCTCGCCAATCCAAACGCCCTGACCCCCACCCCCAGACAGCAAGATTGCCTCTTCAGAGGCCTTGGGAGAGTCAGCCACTGGATTGTTCCATCTCTGAGGGACCCCACCTGGACAGGTATCCCTGGGCGCTGAAGTAGGATGAGGTCTCAGTAGCATCAGCAGCAGTGTCATAGTCTGTGCTGGTCACTGGAGAAGGAAGGGTGACTCTGGGTCAAGGTCTAAAATACATGTGCACCAGGACAACCTTATCCCTAGGAGGCTCTGACCATGCTGTCTCAAGGCAAGCTACCTGCACTCAACATGGAGAAGAGCCACAGCTTCACACATCTGCCCTGTCCCAACCCGTGACTGGGCCCATACTTCTAGGCTATAACTAGCTGCAAGCCTCTTGGGTCCAATGATCTACAGCTGTCAAACAATTTGCAGTCTTCATCAATTACAATGGCACATATAGAACCTTCCGGTTCCATCTTACAATACCACGAGGGGTTAAAGAGACATTGGCCTCAAAACCAACTGCTGGAGACTTTCCGTACAGGACATAGTAAGAAGGAGTAGATTTTCCTACTGTTATGGTGTTACACATAGAATGTTCATGCCCTGGAAACACACATTTTAAGATGTTAATCTTGGGCTGGCCAGATGGTTCAGTGGGTTAAGGTGCTTGTCCCCAAACCTAGTGACCTGAGTTCAATTCCTGGAACCCAAATGTTTGAAGGAGAGAAACAACTCTCATAAATTGTCCTCTGACAGCCATACAAGTGCCGTGACACACATCACAATCACACACACACACACACACAATGTATAAAAAATTAATCAGTGTGGTATTGGTATTAGGAGTTGGGTCTTTGGGAGGTGATCAGACCATGCCCAGGCAACCCTAGACACTCAGCTCAGTCCAGCACTCACGTTCCACACGAAGCTCAGCCTTTGTGGAGGAGACGCCCATGCTGTTCTCTGCCAGGCAGCGGTAGACTCCCATGTCTGCTGGCACCACTGCTGTGATGATGAGCTGGTGACCCCCCTGCTGGTCCTCGTTGATCATGTAGTGGTCATCTTCTTCTAGCAACTTCCCATCCTTGAACCAGCGCACACTGGGCATGGGCTGGCCTGTTACCACGCAGTCGAAGCTCATGGGGTATCCATCCTGCACATCTTGGTTCTGCAGCTCAGTCAGGAACACTGGGGCTGGCACAGTCAGATAGAGGGTGCTGAGAGTCAGTCATGAGGCATGTCCATCATACCCAGATACCACATACATGCAGGTTGCCACCAGAGGGCAGTGTGAAACAGCAGCCTTTCCTATAAGGGATTTCCCAAACTCCACAATTAGACACCCTGAGCTTCTCTCCCTTCCTCGATCTTTAAAAAATTTGTTCTTGGTTCCCAACTACCATGAGGCTGAGAAGTAGATAATCAGGAAAGGCAGACAGAAGAGGATGTGCAGGATAGAACTTTAGTGGGGCTTTAAACCTCAGATGCCCCAACCTGGGGAGAAGTCTCAAGACACAACACTGAGGGTCATTCATTATAACCTCCTGGTGTAGCCCAGGAGAGACACAGTGCACACTGAAATTGTCTTACTTTCAGTAACTGACATGGAAACTATCATAAAGAATGGATGTCAATATGTACCGCTAGCGAAAGACAGAACTGAGGTTCAAATTCAACTATTTAACCTCAAAGTCAGGGCTTTGCCACCCCTGTAGGCTGGGAGACAACTAGTCAGAGCTCTCTTCTTCCTCAGTCAGCCTCCATCTCCTTCTCTCCTCTACCCCAGGCCAAGCTCCCCCACCCCAGGCCACTGCAGCCCACAAACTCACTCACCAGCATCTGAAGTCTGCAGGCCAGGTGTCTTTGCAAGTGGCACTGCAGGGGTGACAGCGGGGGCCACCTTGCCAATGCGCATCTCCACTCCCCGGGGTCCCTGCTCCCCTAGGCTGATCTCCACCTCGATGCCCATGGTGGCAAACATGTCACGGAAGCAGGTGACTGCCCGGCAGGCCTCTGCAAGCGACTCAAAACGGATGCACACAAAGTTTTCATCCTCTCGGTATGTTTGCCAGTCTGCAGGCTCCTCTGGCTCCACGGGGCCTTCATCAGCACTGAGGAAGATCTCCTCTTCTGAAAGCTCAGCTGGGCTCTTGGTGCGGAAGAGACGGTGCAGGCGTCTTGCTGCCCGGCGGAAGGCATCATCCAGCTCACCCCCGGAGGAGCTCTCAGCCTCACTCTCTGTCCCACTGACCACCACACAGGCACTGTGGCTCACACGTCCAAACTTGGTGCTCACTTGACAGGTGTAACGTCCAGAGTCAGTGGGGCCCAGGCCAGTGATCAGTAGAGAGCAGGTACCATCCTTGAGCTGGTCTATGTGATAATGGCGCCCGTCTGTTAACTCGATGCCATCCTTCAACCAGCAAGCCCGCATATCAGCCTTGGTGGCCACCACACACTCCAGCCGCAGCACATCCCCAACCTGTGCCTCTGTGTCCCCGAATGTTCGTGAGAATACAGGCCCTTCCTGATGCTTCATCTCCTTCCGCACTTTGTAGCCCTTAAAGGCAGCCTGGATCTTCACAGCTGCCTTGTCCAGGGATGGATCCTTCAAATCTGCTGCACTCAAGTCTCCCGGCAGTGGGCATGTGGGCACTACTGGCTCCTGCTGCCTTTGTGGCTTCACAGACGTGACCACCTGGGGCTCATGCTATGGACACAGGATGTAAGGTCAGAGCAAGACAGGGAAATGGAGACCAAGAACACCCCAGGCCCAGTACCACCCCAACACACCATCTGCCTCCAGATTAGTGGTTGCCTAGGTGCTTTCTGGAGCCCTGCTACTACTGCTCTGCAAAGCAAATGCTCTTCCTAGAAATCAAAGTATACAGTGACCCAGAGGGGGACCAACAACTTTGTAGGGAATATAACAAAGGCCATGCTCACCTCTTGTTACTGTTTAGTAGGTGTGTGAGTGGGTTTATGGAAAATGCAAGAAAAATAGGCAGGCAGGTGGTTGTGTGGCTGGATGGGTGGTGGGAGGGTGGCTGATGATGGACGGATGGAAGGATATTTGGGTGGATGGGTGGATACACAAGTCAGCAGAAAAATGAGCAGGTGAGCAAATACAGGAATAACTAGCAGGTGAATGGTGAATGGAATGGGGGACAGGGCACACATGTCTGAGCGAAGGGAGGAACAGTCAGATGGCGGATGGTGGGTAATGGATCGATGGATGACCAGGTGAACAGACAGCACGACAAATGGATAAACCGGAAAATAAATACAGGAGGTATGGGCTGTAGATTAGTGGACAGGTGGGTGGGGTTAGGTTGATAGATAAGTGGTCCAACAGTTCAACGGGTGAGTGATGGATGATGGGCAGATGAGCGGATGAACTGCAAATAACGGACAAATGGGCAGACAGATGGACAGGGGTATAGAAGGATGCTTGGATGAGTGGACAGACTGATATACAGATGGAAGGAATGACAGTGAGCAGATGAATAGATAGATAGATAGACAGACAGACAGACAGACAGACAGATAGATGCAAATATAGGTGGAGGAGTGGGTGGCAGATGAATGGATGGATGTGAAGATGCAAAGATTATGCACTACGGGTAGATGGCGTTGAGCTGGATGAATGGACGGGTGAGTTATGGGACTAGAGATGGGCACAGAAAGGGGTGGTGAAGACCTGAGACCTCTTCTTGCAGACCAACTAGGAGGCTCACCTTGCTGGCCAAGGGTGAGATCCCAGGACCCCCGGCCTTCTTGAGGTAGGTAACTAGGGAAGGGGTGCCAGCCCGTGACTCATCGTCTGAGCTGGTGTGTGAGAGGTCAGCCTCTCCTGTGCGTGCTAGCTCATCGGCTGTAGAGTAGCCCTCAGAGAGGTCAGGAGCTGTCTCTTCTGCTTCCTGCCGCAGATGCTGCACACGGCTATCTTCCTCGGGCAGCTCACTGATGGAGTCCAGCGTGGGCTCTCGGCTCATGCGGCGCTTCCGGGCAAGGGCCTCCCAAAGCAGATGCAGGTCACCCTCCTGGGCTGCCTCAGGAGGGAGGCTAGGCTGTGCGGGGACCTCATCCCCAGAGCCTGAGGTCATGACCACTGAATAGGGCAACAGAATAGTCACTGGGTGAGATTAGACAAAGCCATAAGCCCAAGCCTACCTATGCTGCTGACTGGGGTATGACCTGGCTGTGGGCGTCTGGACCTCTGTGCTCTTCATCATGAGCCAGGGACCTTTATCTACTCCAAGATGCTCCAAACCTCAGGTCCTTACCCCATTTTTTCTCAGTCTACCTCCTGCAAGGGGCCTACAGCAACTCAACCAGAACAGGAAATATCTCAGCAAAACTAAAATTAAACCTCTTTCTACCTGTTCAGCCCTGCTGCTGGTATAGGAGCCCAGGTTCACAGAGACATTAGCACTACACAGAGACAATATGCTTACACTGGGGCAGGCTCAGAAGGCAAGAGGAGGAGACCCTAGTGAAGCCTGTAGCTCAAAGTGCAGTGGGTAGAGGAGGTACCCAGAACACAGAGGGCTTCCATCAGGAGGGCTGAGTTAAGGGATGGACTCAGAACAATTGGGAAAGCATGGGCAAGGGGCGAGAGACTCTTAGTATAGGTAGGACCTCAGGCACAGGGGAGAAGGAGAGGACTAAGAGCAAGGGAGGCTCATAGTGGGGACAAGCTAGAGTGCAGAGCGATCTTCTCAGGGTGATGCTCAGAGTGTGGTGGGTCACAGAGCTGACGGTGTATGACGTGTGAGAGTGCCTTAGAATGCAGAATACACTGAGAGGGGGGCATGCTCCAAGTAGAAGTAGCTTCAGAAAAGGCCTCCAAAGTCTTGTGGGCAGGGGTCCCAGAACTTAAGGATCTACCACCAATCCTACTCAGGGATAGGAAGCTGCCCTGCAGAATAATTCAGACACATGAGACCTGCCTCATCTGGCTAAGCCTTGGTTTCTCTGCACATCACATGGAGTTATGGAAAAGGGAGTCTCAGTTTTGTCTCCAGAACACATCAAAAAGAAAGGCCAAATCAACCCTTCCCCCACTCCCAGAGCATCCAGCTCCGGAGCCCAGACGCACCGTTGAAAGTGGCAGCTCCTGAGGAGTGTAGGCCCTGGATGGGACAACAGCGGTATTCTCCTTGGTCTTCAGTCCTAAAGCCCTTGATCACCAGCATCTGCCGCTGACCCTGAGAGAAGATCTCAAAGTGCCCGCTGGGCTGGATGCGCTCTGTTCCTTTGTGCCAGACGATCTCGCCAGCATCAGCTGCCACTTCCAACTCCAGACACACATCTTCACCAACCACTGCCTGCCGTGTTGCTGGGGTTGGGGCTGGGGCTGGGGCTGGGGCTGGGGCTGGGCCTGGGGCTGGGGCTGGGGCTGGGGCTGGGGCTGGGGCTGGGGCTGAGGCTGGGGTTGGGATTGGTGCTGGAGCTGGGGTTGGGGCTGGGGCTGGTTTAGGTTCCATTGGCTCTGCTGAAGAACAATGTCCATAGATTACATCAGCCAGGGTCACTGCCCCACCCTATAAGGCTCCCTCCCTCCACCTTGCACAGCTGGGTACTCTCTTGGACTGAAAGCAGTAACTTACCTATCTTGACCATCTGGGGCAGATGTACAGACTCCCCAGCACCTGCTGGACCCACAGCTGCCACTCGGAAACGGTAGGTCTTCCCAGGGACCAGGCCGTCCACCACACACTCTGGGCCAGGTACTAACTCGTGGCACAGCTGCCACTGGCCTGTGGATGCCTCCTTCATCTCCACACGATAACCACATAGACCACCGCCACCATCACTCAGGGGAGCCACCCAGGATAGGGTCACAGAATGGTCACTACGACCCACCACTTCAGCATCTTCAGGGGGATCAGGGAGAGCTGCATGGAAGAGGATAGATTAGCACACACATTGGGGCCTGCAGTGCTTCCAGCAGTTGCTGGGGTCCAGTACTAGACACAGCATACTCTTTGGGGTAGACTCCTCTATGAGTTCTGTAGGACCCTGAACCCAGTGGCGAGACTGTTTTGGGAAGCAAGGAATGCTCCTGAAGCCTCCATGGGTTGGTGTTTGTCCATCTTGGCATTCACCACTAAGGGCAGCCATTGGGACTAGAGGACTTCCTTCCTCTTGGCCCTTCCCCCCTAAGAGCTAGGCTTAGATCTACACTAGACAAAGAAGAAGGGGACAGAGTAAGATCTCAAGAGACTCTGGCCTCAGGGAGTGATCAAGGATAAGCATGAGCATCTCAAGTCAGTCACTCTATTGGACCCGCAGGAGACACTATCCTCAGGCTCTGAGGGTCTAAGGGAACAACACAGAATCTAGCTCTTGATGGTCACCCATCTGAGGCAAAGTGGTTTGGGGGTGGCGAGGTGAGAGTTAGGTGTTCCTCAGACCCAAACTCTAGGGAAGGGATCTCTGCCAACCACTCACCCAACACAGAGAGGCGTGCAGAGGCCACGGCATCACGTGCTGCAAATGTGACCTCTCCTGCGTGTTGAGGCTGGGCGTTGTTCAGTGTCAAGGCATGGTGGCTGCCATCTGCGGTGACTGTCCAGTCAGTGTCATCAGGTTGGATGGCAGCCCCGTTGACGTACCAAGTAGCCTCGCCCACGGGCACTGCCTCACTTAGTATGCAGGTGAAGCAGACCTGCATACCCGCTTTCACAGATGCATCTTGTGGGGGCTCTAGGACTTCCAAGCGCCAGCCTGTGGGAAGCATTTGCAGACGAGCATTTGCAGAGGGTGAGGGTGCTCCAGAAAAGGAGTGTAAGGCCCCTGGCCCTTACAAAACCTCCTTCAACCCAGCCTCAAGTTGGAAGTGCCTCAGACTGACAGTTCACCTAATTAATTCTCCTGGACCAGGAAGGCCTCATGTTGGGAAGTCTAGAAGATCAACAACCCTCATCCACAGGTCCTACTGCCACTGCTCTGATGGCCTCCAGGGCCTCTAAGGGGAAAGCCCTGAGAGATTTCAGGGAGGTCCATCAGGAAGGTGCCTTAGACACTTCCTTTGCCTTCCCATTTCCTGTCCCATTCTCTAGCCCACTGTCTCTAAATCCCTGTAGACCAAGGAGGTCCAGCCACCTATAGGAAGAGTCTGGAGACACCCACCAACTCCACAGCCAGGTAGAGCCCTTGTTGGAAGGGATCCTGGAGACATCACTCTTCTCACTGGAGTCCCCACCCCTGAAGAGTGGCAGTTCCCAGCTGACAGTTGAATATCACTCTGGAAATGACTCTTTCACGTGTGGCTCTCATCCCAGACACCAGTCCTTCCATCCTATTCAATTCCACTGGACTAACAGCACAGTTTGGGAGGTGGGAAGAACTCAAATCCAACATCCTTCCCTTCCTGCACAGCCTTTGGTGAGCTTTTTGTCAGCCTCTTTACTACCACCTCTATTCACAGTTCAGTCTCTGGTAGAAGAGTCTCCGTCCCATTTACCCAACCGACCCTCCCTCAACTTGGTACCTCTCACAGTGAGGAACGCAGACGTGACCACATCCCCTGCCAGGAAGGTCACTCGGCAGCTGTCCTGTGGCTTCAGGTTTTTGAGCAGAAGCAGGTGCCGCAGTCCGTTCTCAAAGTAGACCACCTCCACGTTTTCCGATGTGTGCACCGGCTCGTCGTCCAGCAGCCAGGTGTGGGCAGCCACTTCAGGCTGGGACAGCTGGCACTCGAACAGAGCTTCGCCGCCCTCCAGTGCATCCACATTCTCCAGGCCACGCACCACTGTGTTCTTGGCTGTGGAGAAAGTAGGGCTTAGGAGTTTGTACCTCCAGCTGTCTCCTGCAAGAACCACCCTCCCCCCCAAAAAAAACTATAAAGAGCCAAACAGAACAGGACTCCAGCAGCCACCGTGGAGGGTGGCACTCAGGGTCCACTGGAGGAGGTAGGGTCATCCAGCCCACCCATCCCATCACATTAGCATTGGGCTCCACAGAGCAGAGAGGCATCTTGTGCCTCACAGATGGAAAACCACATAGGTGTTCACAAACCAGAACCTCACAAACCCAGACTCAAGCCCTCTGGAGATGCAGACCAGTGTCCTTTCCCACAATAGTGCCTACAGCTTCAAGGTGTGGGCCACACCCTTTCTTTAAGTTCCTAACAAGCACTGCTAGACCTGTCCTGATGCCTGGGATGCTTTCCTCAAATTTGTATCGACTAGAGACCTCCCAAGTTCATACCCCTCCCCTCTGGCCAGTTATATTAGCCACTTTCTCATAGAAGCCACAAGCTCACGAGACTGTGCCCTAACCTAGATATAGCTCTGTGTCGCCACCCATTACAGATGTTCTCAGTGTATAGGTCACCTGCATTGCAAGGTTGGCGGCCATTGCTTGCCTTTCTACCATGACTATATCAAGCCTGCCTGCCAGGTGGCCTCACCTTGCACTTGGAGCAGTGCCACAACTCGAGTGCCCGCGGCCTCACAAGAATAGATGCCGCTGTCACAGGGCAGGGCTGGCCTGAGGGTCAGCCTGGCTACGGTCCAGTCCTGCTCTATGATGACACGGTGGCCATCCGCGCACACCTCCCGCTCGTTCATCTTCCACGTGGCCTGCACGGGCCGCGAGTACTGGCAGAGGAGCTCAGCCGAGCCACCCTCCTCCACCACCAGGTCCTGCATGGCACTCACCACCTCCACCGTGGGATCTGTCGGCCAACATGCCAGACATGCATCAGCCCCTGGGACAGTGCCACCATGGCCCACCCGCCTTCTGCTGTCTGTGTTAGTGGCTTCAGCCGCTGCAAGCACAGAGCTTTGGTGGGCAAAGGCTTAGCAACAGGTGCCTGGCATGTGACCAGGAAGGGGACCCATCATGCCTGCCCAAGAGCCCTATATACCAGACACACCTCGTTCTGCCCATAGCAGATGACAGTCAGGCTGACTGTCCAGGCTGGGCCCCTCTAAGCCCAAGGTGAACACCCAGGTCCCATCTTAAACACACCTGGACCCCAGATCCTGGCAATCTGAAGCTGCAGCCCATCTTGTCCCTCTCCAAGAGTGTAAAGATGCTTGCTGATACCCTTGGGTTCCATCCCATCCCCACCTGTTGAAATCCTATTCAACCAATGGCTATTCATCCTGGATCTGGTTCTATGAGTCTTAGGCAAAGGCACTGGATGAAAGATTCAGATGGACTGTTTGGAGTCCCTGGCAGCCTTCTACCCTCCTTGCCCAGCCAACTCTTCCCCAGAAGGGTTCCCACAGGAAGAGAAGCAGGTGTGCACAGGGGCAAACCAGAACCAGAAACAATGGTTTCTCCATCAGGAGTCCAGGAAGCACCCCCCCGCCACACCGCCCTTTCTGGCTGGGATGTCTAGCCAATGGGATGGTAAACAAGGCCAGTGTGTATAGGTCCCACACAGCAAACGTGCAGGCCAGTCTCCAACTAAACAATTCATGGAGACTAAACTCCCCACTCAGGAAGTAAGTGGAAGCTCATCCTCTGCCCACACGGGACTGTCCTGGGTACATGTTGGGCACAGAGCAATGCCTAGTCTATGGCCGTTGGGGTCAGTACCTGACACTCAATTTCCCAGAACTCTGCAGAAGGAAGACATGCAAGGGACAGCAAGAGCAGAAGCACCAGCGTGGGGAGGTCCCCATTGGCCAATACCTTTGACTAATAATTTGGCTGTGGAGACCAGGGGCCCTGTGCGGAAGGTGATGGTGCCTGAGTCAGCCACCCCCAGGCCTGAGAGCGTGAGGGAGTGAACAGTGCCCTCTCGCACAGTGATGGCACTCTCAGGGCTGTTCTGAAGCAGGGTGCCATCCAGCCACCAGCGGGCCTCCGGCCCACCTGCGCGAGATACCTCACAGGAGAACGTGGCCACCTCCCCCGCGAAGACATCCACATTCTGCAAGCCTCGTACCAGGCATAGTGCTGCCTCTGTTCAAGAAGGTGAGAAGGAAGTCTCGGCTGAAGATCCCTGGGGTCTATGGAGTAGGGGACACCCTCAGGGGCACTGATGTGGAAATATGATCCAACAGCCAGGTTGTTCTCTGTCCCAGTTCCTAACAGAACTTTCTGAATGTCACAAGTGTTCTTATACATAGCCAGCCTATTAGTCACATCAGAGGCTATGCTGATGAGGTGGAGCCTTCAGGAAGGGGCTGGTCACCAGGAATACCAAGTGACAAGAGGGGTCAAATGTCTAGCTCTACCCACCAGTCTCAGGGAGAGCAGCAAGACTGGAGGTAAATGTGAGCAAATCTGATGGGCTTCAAGATTTGGGGTACCAAGAGGATGGAGCATGATCAATGGACAATAGATGGGGTACCTGTCAACTGTCCCCCACACTAGCTAATCTTCGACTATTGCTGGGTGCTGTGCTGTGTAACAAACCAGTAACTGTTTCATGACTCTCAGCTGTCCTAGCAAATTGGTCAAACCCAGGAGGACAGGGCGAGCCTCACTCACATCCACTTAGTCAGCAAGCTTAGGTTTGCAACTGACTTTGCTGGTGGAGGCGTCTCATGGGACTGAGTCTGTAACCAGTGGTCTGTGCTCACTTTGGGTCATGTCAGAATTGAATCAAGTTAAAGTGCATCCAGTTGGTATCTGTTGGTATCTGTTAGTATCAATTGACTGGTGTGTGGGGAACCCACTGTTCTAGTCAGGTGTCCTGTGTTGTACACATTTTTGAGGGGAACTGCAGTGAGAATGTTGTTCCCTGCAACTAGAATTCCAAGTGGCTTTACTAGAACAATCTTGAGACTGACTGATACTGGCATCCTGGAATCTTCTGGGATCAGGTACTACCCAGACCAGAACAGCTTAGACCAGAGGTCCAGAAATCCATCCCAGCCAGTCGGCTGGGAGAAAAGCACAGAGACAATCCACACTGAGCCCATAACAAGCCCATGAGCTAATGAACATCCCACACAGGGTCAGAGCACTCCTGGCTCCATCCTCAAGAAGCCAACGACACCTACCTGGCATCTTTTTCAGAAGGAACAAAGGATAAACTCTACATTTGGGACTCTTTCTGACAACAGGTGTCTCCTGTAACCTAGGATGGGCAAGAAGGAGGCACCCCAGGACCTGTTGCTCCCTGAGTATGGGGCTCAGTCCCAGGAAGTGGCTTTCCATTCCTGGGGTGTGTAGACACAGGGGCACTCTATCTAGATGTCCTCCAAGATTCTGCCAGCCTTGGGACTCAGGGGCCTTAGTTACTGAGTACACTGCGCCCCCACCAAATAGCAGGCTTCAGGTTTAGGAGCCTCATTGGTGTGAATGTCCTCCACTTGGATCTCCTGCAGCCCATCAACCTCTTGAATGGATATTTGGGGTAATCACAGCAGATGGATGGCCAAAGTACTCCAGGGCATTAATGATTTCACAGCTCCATGACTTTCCCATGCTCCAGACCAGACAGGAAAAAAACAACAATCTCTTTCAACACTTGCTACCTGGAGCCAGGCAAGAAGGATGCCACCACCACCCTGTGTTTCTCTCTGAACATTTATCAGATGCCTTCTTGGGGGCAATTGGCAAAGTCCAGATCCCTCTGCTTCAATTTGCTTCTATATAGTACAGGATGAGGCTGAGAAGAGTCAGCCAGGATCCATTTGGAAGGACATCAGTACCCAGGAAGACAGGACAACCCCCAGGATCACCCCAGAAAACTCCTTTAGAAGTCTTTGCACACAATCTCCCAACAACTGTCCTCCTTGAGCACCAGCTCCTAAGCCTGGCCATTACAGAGCTACCTGGATGCTCACTTCCCCTTAGACCCCACAAAGCTGCAGATGAGCCAGTTGTCTCAGAATGGGAACATTTAGCCTAGAGCAGGGCTGAAGCACATCCTACAGTTCCATGTTGTCCCCCTCAAGACACAGCTCCTTTCTGCTCTGCCCCTACTCAAGACAACCATGAAATTCTTCACCAATCAGCTTAAAGGCATTGGCACTTGGCAGCCTTTCTCAGCCCCACAGGCCATGGAGTTGACCATGTCAGGTGATTTCTAAAGTTCCAGAGGAAACTGGGATTCAGAATATGCTCTGTTCTCCACATCTAGCTCCCCTCAGCAGATTAAGGGTTCCACTATAGTAAAACTACATGTAACCCATTCTGAGATCTTAGACATGAAGAGTAGGAGACCAGAGGTTTCATCCAATGGTGAACAGATAGTTGGATGGCAAATAAGGGCTTGAATAGATGACTAGATGGATAGATGGATGGATGGATGGTGGGTAGGTGGGTGGGTGAATGGTTGGATGATAAACACATTAATGGATGTACAGATGGTAGATGGGTGAATGGTTATAATGGTGGATGATGAATGGATGGTAGGTAGATGGATGGACAATCATGAGTAGCTAGGTAAGTAGGTAGATGACGTGGAAGATGGATGATAGACGAAGACTGATGAGGAATGGGCTTAGGTAAGAGACAAATGGCGGCTGTAAATGAGTGGATGCATACATGGGATACAGGTAGAGGGTAAATCAGTAAGTGGGAAGATGATGGAGGTGCCAGTGAGATCACATTGAGAGCAGAGCAGGTGGCACGGGAAGGTTGCTCAAAGCCGAGCTCTACAGGATGGACATATTCTGGGAACAAGGTGTACTCTTCACTGAAGGTTCCTGAAGTGCTGTCTGCCAGGCACAGGCCGCATTTACTATGTCCACATCCATACATGTGTCAGAGGTGTGTGGTTGCGCTCACATCTCTAAGCCTTTTGAGCAAGTAAATGTACATCAGCATGAACATATATGCACATACAAGGACCTAAACCACACAGTTGGCCCTTGTCACCCTGTAAGGCCCAAGCCCAGGTTAGCCAGACTCTAGCACTTCAGGAGGCAGTGGCAGTTCTGCCTGAGATACCACATGCTGGAAAATTGCCAGCCCCAGTGCAAAATTCACAGCTAGAAGTCTTGGGCTTCTAACGCCTCTGCAGCAGCTGCAGTGCTCAGAGACAAAGGACAACCACTGGGAGAGGCTGAGGTAGGATAGGGATGCCTACCTGCGACCTTCAGCTGGGCCTCTGAGGAGCATGAGCCCACTTGGAGAGTGATGGTTCCAGCGTCCTCGAGAGTCACCTGAGGAGGCAGGAAGAAGATGCGTGGCTTGCACCCTACCCTGACCAAAAGGGGCCGATCCATCTTCCCAGGCCCCAGTGATTGGGGCTTGTCACCTCCCCAACCCAATGCCCTGGAGGAAGGTCTTCCCTAATGAGCTCAGAACCTTCTATGTGTGGGCAGAAGCGTAGCCCCACCTTGTGCAGAGTGAGCAGGTAGAGTGTGCCCTGCTCCACAGTGATGTTGTTCATCTCGTTGCACTGCAAAGGAACCCCTCCCAAAGCCCAGCGAGCCTCCTGGCCCGAGGCCCTGGACAGCCGGCACTGGAAGTGGGCATCCTGGCCCTCGCTGAGCTTCACATCCTTCAGGGGCTCCAGAACGGTCACCTCAGGTACTAGACATGGAAGTGCGGACATCAGCCTTGCATCTGGAATGTTCCCTCAAATGATAGAGCTCCTATATACCTGGAGTCACATGCTACCTCAACCCAATCCCTGAGAACAATCCCATAGGAGCATGCTACCAACACCCTCTCTAGATCTATATAGAGAACACACCCCGGGCTCAGGCCCAAGGAGAATCTAGAGGTAACCTAGGGCTTGGAGTAGTACAGTCTGCAGAATCTCTAAGCGATAGTAGGTAAGTTCGAAGCATATGAACTTCAGAGAAGCCCACTGTACCTACCTACCAGCCAGATCCACCTGTGAAAGCACCACACAGGTCCTCCTCACAACCAGGACCTCAGCCTCCAAAGACTGTCTATCTATTTGTGTTCCTCAAATTTGCCTAAGCCTGAACATTCTCTTCCCAGGAGAGAGAAGGCCAGAAACACCAAAGCCAGATACCTCGGACTGTGAGCTGAGCAGAAGATGAATGGCTGCCCACGTGGAAGGAGACAGTACCAGCATCCTCCAGTGTCACACCCTTCAACTGGAGCACATGGGTACAGCCGTCTCTGAGAACAGCCACCTCTGTCACTTCATTGCTCTGCAGTGGCAGACCTTGGAGGTGCCACCGCACGTCTGTGGCTCCTGCCCGTGACACCTTGCATGTGAACTCCACATCCTCATCAGCCTGGACCTCCATGTCCACGAGTCCCCGGACAATGGTCACCTCAGGCTCTGGGGGAGGGACACAGAGGCAAGAGGTCCTTTATCAGTCTGAGACAAATTCCCATGGCCTCTTCTCCTGAAAGCCTTCCTTGACATCCAGAGCTCTCTGCTACCCGACATGGCAGGTCACCTGCTAGGCTTACAGGCACGGAAGCTGAGCAGGGACACTTGCTTTCCCACAGTCCAAGAGGGAAACTGGTTACACGGGTGAGTGCTATGGTTGGCCCTGATACTGCTGCCAGCCCTATCTTGGCTAGGTCACCATTTATCAAAAACTTCTATAGAAATAAGTAAGGGCTGAGAGAATCCCCCAAAGCAATGCTGAATTTCCTGCTGGCTGGAGAAGAGGAGGCAGGGCCCTCTTTGGGGTCTGAGGATTGTCCTGGTTGCTAGGGCCCTTCAGAGAATCAGAACTGGACACAGTATAGGAGCGAGGTGGAGAGGGCTATGGTGTGAAGGTCCAGGCCCCAGGGTAAGCTGCGCCCAGGAGATCCCTAGGGAGTGGGCGTGGTGGGAAGGGCTCACACTTTGCTCCTGGAGTCTAGCTACTCACCTTTGACTCTGAGAGAGGCCAGAGTCTTCTGGCCACCCACCACGCAGGCATACTCCCCGGTGTCCTTGGCCTCCAGCTCGTGGATCAGCAGCTCGCACGTAGCCCCTTGGCACCGCATCTCATACTTGGGACCGACATGCAGCTCTATCCCCTCCTTGAGCCACTGCACTGGAGTCCCCGGCTCAGCTTCGTTCAGTTGACAACACAGCCGGGCCATGCTACCTGCTTCCTGCTCTGTGCTCTGAAGGCCAGTCTTGAACTTGGGCTTGGGGGCTGAGGACCATCAAAGAATACTTAGAGCTATGGGTTCCAACTCCCTGACTCTGACTGAGTAAGGTCCCCTGCTCTTCAAGGAGGGGAAGAGGGCTGGGATGTATACCAACCACAGGCGGCTCACCTCGGACGGAGAGCCTGGCGATGCTCTGTGTGTGGCCTGCATCGCAGGTGTATTCGCCGGCATCCTCCTGCTCCACCCCGTGGACCAGCAGCTCCGCAGTTGTGCCCTCCTGCACCATCTCATACTTAGCACAAGGAAAAAGCTCCAGGGAGCCCTTGCGCCACTCCACACTCACAGCCTCTCGGCTCAGCTCACAGCGCAGGCGTGCGGTGGTCCCCTCATCGACGTCCTGGGCCTGCAGCTCCCGTAGGAACCGCACGGGAGCAGCTGCAAGGTTGACAGACAGCATGAGAGCATGTCCCTGAGTTGATAAGGGTGTTACAGCCAGGGAACCACCCACAGTAGAACCGTGGTCAGGATTCCCAGGATACTACTGCAGGGAGGAACTGAGGAGCTATATGTATACAGCAGTCGAAATGAGTTTCTGCACCTGCCCATGAAGCTACCAGGGAGAAGAGAACACATGGAGGGATGTCCCTGAGGAGCTACAGATAAAGTCATGGGGACATTGAAGTGAGAGTATAGTATAGTATATAGTATAGTATAGTATAGTATAGTATAGTATAGTATAGTATAGTATAGTATAGTAT